CCGGCAGAGGGACCGTTCCGGCACCCATCCCTTAGTACCGTCCCTTGAGGGTTTTGGCGATAGAGAGCTGGACATTGACATGTCTAACTATTTGATTCAAGCTGGATCTTGTGATACCAGTCGTATTGTCAGCAGGTCAGGTCAGGTCACTGAACTATGATGTCATAAGTGAACCTCTGCATGGTCCTAAAAAAAAATCCTACCTCAGGGCACTTCACCTGAGGTCATTGGTTGACCTTACAGCTCAAAATCGGGTACCAGTCACTGTGCCTCGTAACGGCGCACAAGTTCGCTTGTTTTGCGAGCGGCTCTAGCTCAATAAGGAGCGAAAAGGCAAAGAGCGTTTCACCAGCCTCCCACCTCGGCCGGAGCATGCATGTAGAAAACCGATAGGTCTGACGAGGGTTAAGCTTGTTTCTGTCATGCTGCTGACTTGATGGCGGTTAATAACTACACGGCGGAGTAGTTGCTCAGTGCAAAAATGTGCCGAAGTCATAGTCGTACTTCGCATGCCACACTTTTGGAAATCTATCAATATTTTCAGCTCATAGTGCCCGGTGCCCATCCACTTTGTTTAGTCTGCACTCATTTGGGCTCGATCCTGTTTTATTAGCGGCTCACAACGGGCGCTGGTGATTACAATAACGGCGCCAGCAGGCCGCAGTACCGAGCCGGCGCGCTTCCCGGCCATTGCCGTCTATTGATCCGTGGCCGTGACGTCACTGGATGTCTGGATGCCGAGGTCAGGTCGGCTGGCCAGTGCGACTGAGGTGGTTCCGACATATCGGCATTCCAGCTCGCGGCGCTGGTGTGTGAGTGGAGTGAACGGGCCAGAGACGGACCTGACACGGTGATATACCCACTCTGAATCCATCACGGTATCTCAGTAAGCTGCCCATCACTGTCCAAAGTGTAGTAGTGGAATCGTCATATTTGTAAATAATTTACACAGTAAAAAACACTTAAAGGAGAGTTTACCACGTTAAACTGAAATGGGTAGTTCATGACCATATAAAAACATGAATCTTAACCCGCGCCCTGGTGGGGGGGGGGGGGGGGGGCTATTTTTTGCGCCCCCACCCCCTCCCGACTTTTCAATATATCTCCAGAACCGCTGCGCCGATCGTCACCAAACTTTCAGTACCCTCTTGGACATCAATTTTACACATTGTGATCAAAAATTTTTCCAAAGGCTATGATAGGTTAGCCGTAAATGACGTCAGAGTGTCGTCATGTTCTGCCGTTTTCGACCCAAAAAAGGGTTTCGCGGGAAGAGCTGTCAGGCCTATAGCTTTGCAAATACAGAAAAACGATAGAGACATAAAAGCTGTAGAATTGACAGGGCTACAAAACTGTTATCTCGGATTTTTGAAATGTTTGGATTTCGACCCCAAAAATAAAAAAACAGATTTTTTGAATATAATAGCCGAAAAATCCAAAAAGTTTTTGGAATTTCGCAAAAACAGGAACATATGTGATAGTCCTTACTGCCTTCTATCCACATACCAAATTTGATATTGATACCTCTTTTTTTTTGGTGAAGTTATAGCGAAAAAACTGTTCAACATTGATGACGTCAAATTTTCAAACTCAATTTTTAGCAATTCTAGACCCCGTAGCGCAAAACAAAGACCACCATTAGACTCCCCGTGACGAGCTGCATCGAATCAATACCCATTTAATGCAAAACTATCAACTTTAAGAATTTGACCTTTCTTGACCTGACCTTGACCTGACCTTCACCAGAAAGTGACCTAAGCCGTACCTGATAATCTTATAACCAACACCATTGAGTTGGAAATGAAAAATTGGCCATAAAACATGCATCGCACAACCTTAGTACCTAAAGTTAGGTTCATGTGACCTGACCTGTGACCCTTGGTGACCTGACCTGTGACCTGACCTGGTATTGTCAGTGACCTCTTATAGCAACATATGTACTAGGCAACTGACGCCCTATCGCTGATTCTCGACAAAATGCGTTTTCTTCGGTGTTATAGCGCATTCCCTAGATGACCAGTGAACGGTGAAACATGTCATCTTTGACCTGACCTGTGACGTCATCGGTGACCCCGAGGTCAATGAAATTTGGTTTCCTTCGACAAATTTGACAGGCCTTTCGAACGCCGTTTGAATTTTGCGGATCCGTTAACAAGAGGGGGCAAAAAATAGCCCCCCCCCCCCACCAGGTCGCGTTATAAAAAGACCCCACCAGGGCGCGGGCCCTCGCACTGACATGGGGGGGGCGAACGGACCCCCCACCCCTTCAGTTTTTTTTGCAAATAACTCGTGCAAAAAATGGCCAATCGCAACGAAACTTTTAGTACCCTTGGTAGTCTTTCTACCCCCCCCCCCCCAGGTAGTCTTTCTACTCTGCACTCAACATTTTTAGAGCTAGAATGCTTATTTTCCGTATAGCTGCTCCTCTATCCTTTTTTGATGTCCACTGAAAATTTCAAGTTTCTGTGATTTTTGGTTTCGGAGATATGACCTTGTTTTCAGGTCATGTCATGACCCAAATGGCCAATTCTCAACATCTTGCGTTTGCCATGGGCCTTGTGAGTTTTTCGCACCTTGATTTCGGCCTTTTTTGCCAGTCTTACCTCCCACCTATCATGGAACATGTTGTTCGACGATGTACAGGTGTCAAGGTCAGGGTCAAGGTCAACCTAGGTCATCTAAGATAATTGCGTTTTAGGGAAGCTGATTTTACTTTTTGTAAAAAATTTTGACTGCAATTTTGGTAAAAGCTTCTCAGATCATGATTTCATGTAATATGGACACAAAAACAATCAGTGCACACATCAGTATACACACAGACACACACAGACATACAAACACATATAATTGACCTTGACCTAACTTGACCTGAAATGACCTCAGCAGCAAAAATCTGGTCGGGTAGTGTGACAAAGAGGTTCTAGCTGGCTTGGCACCAGAAAACAGCATCGTCATCGGTATATGATAATCAGCGCACTTGATATTCAACGGTGACCCAAAACAGCAACATTTTTTTAGTTTGACCTGACCTGGAAGGTCAATGACTGACCTTAGAAGGTAAAACTGGGTACCATTGGATTCATCTTTTCCCAAAGAATCTTTTTGGTCTTTACCGCTAAGCTCTATCTCCAACAGGAGCGAAATGGCGTGAGGGTGGCAACCCCTCCCCCCCCCCCATGTGCGTTCTAGGATGGGAAAATGGCATGTGCGGGCGAGGGATACGTTAGGCGCTGTAAAAAACTAAAAAGACCGACACGCCCAAGGGCTAATATCTTATCGTTGTTGATTGATTTTTGTAAACACTTGATAGAAATTGTTCATTTAGGTGTCCACTGGACACGTAGTTTGATTTCAGCATGAAAACGATGCCTTTTTAGTTATATTTTTCTCAGTTAACTTAGGCATAGATTGGTATCAACTACTAATAAATGTAGAAATTTGATTTGAAAGACAGCATGATTTACTCGCATTTGTATTTATAGTTCATTATGCTCATATAACCGTCATCAGAAGCCAGTCAACGGTTAAAGAAAACTGTTAAGGCAGGTCGCTGCGTCGATGCGCTGCGTTGATGCCTCTAAGGGCACGAATTGCCATTAGAGGCAATTCTTGCCTCTAATTGTCTCTACGGTTAATAAACAAACAAGACTTTGCGAATTTTTGCCAGTGCAGGGCCACCAAAGACAAGCAAATTTGTCAGTGTTGACGGCATGTGGGCTCAGGTTCATATCAACTACATGCCTAGATAAAATGCAATGCATATCCACATTTGCTTTTGATAGTTTGACATACTGCCTTTCCGCAATGAGGAGTAACAGTTTTTTTATTTGTCTAATTCATTCCAATGCGGCTTCGCTTATTGCTGTGTGATAGGTACTGAGCAGTGGTTGAGCACCGGCATGGTTTTCATCCTTGCCTGTCTCCTCATAGAAAACGTTTCGTTTTAACAAGATGTCCATGTTGTCCTTGTCCATCATGATGTCCATGATGGTGTCCTTGATGTACATGTCTGTACATCAAGATGTACAGACATTGACAGTCGCAGTGCAAACAAGCAGACGCCTCCATCCGTGCCGGGTGCCCCCAAAGACGCTGCCCAAACAGCCGGCTCAGACAGGCTGAAAGGAGCTGACGTCCAATCTCCTAAAACGTCGGCCCCGGGCCAACCGGGTGTTTACAAAAGTATTATAGCCATGGGACACTAAAAAGAGTGTGAATAATGTATCAGCGTACATTCATTCAAACCTCATGCTATCAGCAACTAATCAACAACGGTATTAGATAAACCTACTAAAGAACCCTTCATTATTTCCCTCCTTTAATCGATTGAATATATTTAATTATCAACACATGGGCTTCTTCTGATATCCCATAGCTTTCTTCTTTCCCAGTAACGAACGCAACACTTATTTTGTGACCGAAATGGCAATTATTGGTACGATCGAGTACAATTGATCTGGCCTCAGAGGTGACCGGTTGACCTGCTATATTAAAATTGGGCACCTTGCTGCTAATCGTAACGTAACGTTGTCCATGCTCGTTTTTCCGAGAGTCCTACAGCGCAATTAGGAGCGAAACGGCAAAGAGGGTTCCACCAACTCGGCTTCTCTCGCGTCAGAGGAGGTCAGGGCGTATGTAGAAAACTGATATATCTGGCGAGGGCTAATATGCATGATTCCACTACTAAACTGAGGGACAGCTTACTAGCAAACCGAATACCTTTCCGACATGCCAGGGACATAAATTCAGCTTGCCTGCAACAGCTTGGCATCTAAAGCAGCCTAGTGGTTCAGCAAACCACCGTCCCGTGTCCTCATAACTCAATTGTCGTGCCACAACGCTAGACAAGGATCTGGTGCTATCGAAGCCACTGGGGCCATTTCGACATACGCCGGCCATAGACGTATGTGACGCAGTGCTGCCTCTGTCGGCGGCAGTGAGGCGGGCGCGCTGTGACCTGACCGTGTGCCAGCCGCCGCGCCACGTGACGGCGACACGTGGCACGTGGCACGTGGTGGCGCGTGTCGATGGCGGAGGAGGGGCCCCTGAAGGTCGCCACGCCGGCCTCCTCACGACCCGAGTCGGTCCTCTCGGAGTTGACGGCCTCGGACGCGCCGGAGAGTCCGGAGCCGGAGGTGCCGGAGGACGTGTCCTCTCCGGAGGACACCCCGGACCAGCCGGAGACGAGGGCGGAGCCGGAGTGGCCCAGCCCGCACCAGCAGGAGACGGGGGCAGAGCCGGAGTGGCCCAGCCCGGACCAGCCGGACGGCCGAGAGGAGAAACAGGAGGACGAGAAGGAGGACACACCTAGAGGGGAAAGTGGTCTTCAGAACGAGGAGCCCGCAGGCAACCAGCCCGGAGAGAATAAGCAAGAAGAACTGAGCCTTGAAGAAAGTGCGGTAACTGTCACCGAAATGGGGGGCCAGAAGGACCCTGAGGATGGACGAGATGCCGGTCAAGTCGAAGGAGATCAGCCAGCACAGGACGCTGAAAAGCAGTCAATGGAGCCCTCCAGCCCTCCAGCACATGTCGCTTCACCAGAAGACGCTCAGCCTAAGGAAGACTCGAACGCTGAACCAACTAATACCAACGTCGAAGAACCCAATGTCGATCCCAAAGAGACTTCAACAGACGTCGAGCATAAGTCATTACCTCATTCCCCAGAACCTGAGCGAGCTCCTTCGGTTCCAGGCCCACAAGACACAAACGCGGACGAACCTGCATCAAGTGGCCGCCCAGAATCTAAGCCAGGCCCTGACGAAGCCAAGGGCGAGGAGAAGGACGCAAATTTAGAATCGGAATATTCTGGACTAAAGGCAGAAGAAAAGGAGGACGATAGAAGGCCTGCGTCAGAAGTAGATGCAAAATTGGAGCAGACACCAAAACCGGAACCTGATCCAGAACCTGAGTCAAAACCTCAGGCAGAACCCGAGCCTGAATCTGAAACTAGATCTGAATCAGAGACTGAACCTGAACCAAACCGAGAACCCGAACCTGAATCCAGACCACAGTCTGAGCTCAAACCTGAACCGGAGCCGGAACCAAAACCTGAATCGCAATTTGAACCTGTAAACCAAGAAAAGTCTCAACCAGAGCCTGAACCGGGACCAAAATCTGAGCCTAAGCAAGAAGATAAGCCTAAACCCACACCCGAACCTGCAGCCGCTCCCAAACCTGAAACTGATCCGAAACCTGATCCTGAACCTGAACCCAAAGCTGAACCAGGAACTGAACCTGAACGCAAACCTGAACCTGAACCCGAACCAGAGACCAAAACTAAGTCCGAAACCGAACCGGAATCTGGATCAAAATCTGAGCCTGAAGTGAAAGAGGCAGCAGAACCAAATGAGATGACTCAGTCAGAGCCTATTTCGGATCCAGTACCAGAGCCGGAATCAGAGTCTCACAAGCAGACACCGGACCCGGACCCGTCGCCAGCGCCGGAGCCCCAGCCGGCAGCAAAGGAGCCGGAGCCGAAGTCCCAGCCGGCAGCAGCAGCTCCGGAGCCGGAGTCCCAGCCGGCAGCGGCGGCTCCGAAGAAGGGGCCGCGGTCGGCCGGCGCGCCCGCTGCCGGGTCGGCCCCGGGGGTCCGGACGAGCCGGTCACCCAGGAGGCGGCAGCCGCCGGAGCGGCGCCGGCCTCTGGTGACCAAGGAGCGGCCGACGGTGCCGACCACGCGCGGCCAGCAGCTGCTGGTGGAGCGCAAACGGCTACTGGACGAGGACTATCGGCGCTGGGAGGAGCGCGAGCGATCCCTCTCCCGCCGGCGCAGAGGTGGGCGGCTGCACGGGCGCGGCGCGTGATCAACTGTGCACTGTGCACGTGATGTGTCTGGTGCACGAAAGGTCACCTCTGTTCACTGAGTTCGTGCAAACTGATGGGAGAAGGTCGGGTTACTGCGGTGGGGACAGTTATTGATCTTAGTCGCAATGATCTTTCCGGGGAATTTTCAAACAACCAACCACACATTTACCCCGTGTTTACTCTTAGAATATAACGGCTATCAGTGGCGGCGAGGGCCGGAAGGACCGGAAGACGGAAACCAGGGCGAGACCGGCATGTCGGAATGTTTTTAATGTTTTATAGCTTGATGCATGCTTGCGTGGCTGCTGCAATTAAATGTTTCTTTTACTATTAAAGGTAGTGTGCCACCTTTGAAAGATTTCCCGTTTTATTTTTCCTAGGATAAGAAGCTTCTGTTTTTACCTAATATCGCAAAAAAAAAAATCAAAAAATGGGCCTGGAATAGTGCCTTTTTCGCCTAAAAGTTTATCGGTTTTTAGATATGTATAACAATTGTAGTGGGCTCACCTGCAAACAGGCGTCGGGCAACAATCGCGAATGCGGCGCACTTGTGACAATAAGCAAAGGTCATTATAGTGTTACGACCATACGACGTACGGGAATGAGTTATCAGCTGTCTAATCGTAGACAACACAATGTCGAGCCTTAAACTGTAAGCCTGTATTGGTATTGTTTCTTAAATTTGGCTGTCGAACATTAATTTGTGGTTTGAAATATGATTTTATGTAAAATAATTGATATGAAACAGCCGTCTCTTAAGTTATGACCCCATTACACCACACGCAAGTGGCAGAAATGACAATGATCAGCTGACGCATTTTTCTTGGCCGAAGTCAGAGCGCGCGGCCCGACGCACCACGCGTATTTGGAAATTCCGACCTCGACGAGCATCAGAAGCCACCTAACAGGCGTGTTCGAAACCGCAGGAGATGATGATGAACGGGTTTATCGAAACTTGATTGGATGAGCCTATCGGTAATAGCGATTTTAGTGTGTGCATTTATTGTTCATAGTGGTGTGAAATGTGGTTGGGGTACGACCGACAACCCGTCGGGGCGAATTTCGCACTGGGGTACTCAAAATTTGAAGAATTTAAGACGTTTCCATAAGTTTTGAAGGTATGGATAAGTTCTAAAAATCCGGTTCTCCTTATCCGGGTCATTAACTCCATATGGTCCAAGAAAGCTGGCACACTACCTTTAATTATTTTCGGAATGCATTGTGTTTCTGTATCGTTGTGAGATTTACACGTTTTTAAAACTACCAACTATTAAAATATGAAGTTGAATATTAGAATTGCCAATCAAGCCAATACAGTGTATTATTATAATGTTTCTGAGAAAATGATCAAATATTAACGTAACCACCACCGTGCCGCATACAGCCTCTCAAACTAACAAGACCCACAAGCCGTTCAATGTTACCCTGTCGCGACTGTATGAAGCGTATCATGAGCTTACATGCGTATGCTTTATTTCAATATTTAACTAACTTGCTGATTTTTTTTTCAGAAACGACTGGGGACAGCGGAGGTAGCAATGGCCGGGTGAGTCTGACGTTTTTTCTTTTCAATAATTATTTATATCCAATTTTATGCATTAGATTAACCTGAAACGCGTGACTGTGTGCTTATCAATCGGTAACATAATATATCTAATATAATGATGATGACGTCTATGAATTTTCGTATTATAGAAGTTCTGGACTGCATGATGACATTTGCCTGATATCTTCAAAGTGAAGAAAACCGATTACCCCCATCGATTGCACAGATCACTTTGAAGCAAGCACACCTCGGCCGGACTGTGAGGTATACTTTCGGTTAATATAACTATGTGGAAAAGACAAATAAATATAACTCGATAACACAGAGTTACTATTTGGTGTCAATTTACCGCAGTTACTGCTAATTGCTTAAAACTAAGGAGGTGTTATCTGGCCTCTGGAGAGTTGAGTTATAATGGCATGAAGTTAAAGTTTCCATTGTGGCATGTTCTTTATAACTGTTTGCATGCCTAATTCGTCTATTGCAGGGAACTAGCAGGAACGCCTCACCGAGGAGAGGACGGTCATCTTCAACAAGGTTGGATCCCCTGCAAGACAAACCAAAAAGTAAGTTAACGGTGTTAAATTAAGCAGCCTAGGGAAGGCAAGGTCACTTTGAGGAACAGACGTTAAATTAAATACCATTTTTCACAGGAATGAAAAACGAGAAACTGTAATAGAAAGTGCAAGTATACCGTGATTCAAAGGCACGGTCATTATTGGTTTAGAAATCAAGACAGACGATAATAAAATGACGCCAAAAATGTCTGTCAGTTGATTTTTGTTTTATTTTTCTCAATTGGTTGGAATATTTTTGCAATTGAAATTTTTGGTTAGCCATCACCTGTTGTTACAAAATGAACTCGGCAGAAATTACGCTATTTTCTGGAAGGCGAACTATTTAAAATACCAAATGTCATCTAAACTAACTTCTCTTCTCCCACGAGATAAAGTTTTAGGACGAAATCTTGTAACTTTTGATAAATACGACGAAAGCTCGGATAGTCTCAGTTTAAAATCATGTCCAGCATTCCGGCCATCGTGGGCAACAAAGAAAACGAGATCAAGTTACGAACGAAAATCGAGATGGGCGTCCAGCTCCAGCCTCTCGGACATTCGAGAAGGGCAAACCCTGGTATCAGCACTGAAAACTCAAAAAGAGCCTCCGGATAAAGCTTTGGGAGAAGATATTAAATCTTTGATTGAAAATGAGTGGAAAAGACGAATAAAAGATAAGCCGCTTGATTTCGCTGCACTGCAAACTCTGGCAAGAAAACAAAGAGATAAAGAGTTAAACTTTCAGAGCAAGCGCAGCAAAACATCATGCAAAGCAGAATCTGACACAACTCTTCACACACATTCTAGTGGCATGTCTAAGAATGAAAGATCAATATCTGGACTACCCAAAGCGTTGCATTCAAGTGATGTCTATGGTGCTGGAAGCCAAGGCGTAACTAAAATGCGATCGACTGGGGACTCTGCTTCCTTCTCCTCCAAGTCCTGCACTGTTTTTAGTGAGAAGGAAAACGAGAAGTCACACCGCCACAGTTCTCCTAAAAGATCTGCAAGAAGTATTGATAACGACATCTCAGAGTTTGCACACACAACGGAGACTCCAGCTTTAGGTGTGCAAGAATTGAAAAGGAGATTTTCTGTTCGTGCGAAGAACCTGAAATCTTTCGAAGAGAGTGCTAAGAAGGGTGATTCAAAATTGACTCAAACAAGTTTCACCGACGCTCGAATGCCTGACCTTCATCTAGCTCCAGCGTCATCTCCAGAATTGCAAAGAGAAAATGATATTGGTCTGACGGAAACGTATCAACGAAGCTGGAACACGAGAGTGACTGCAATAGAGATCACTGAGGTGGCTGGAGTTCTGCCCCAGGAAAAACATGCAGGGGCCACCGAAATACCTAGAGAGGCGAAAATAGCATCCAGCGACTCCGTTGTTGCTAATTCAGCAAGCGTCTCTCGTGACGAGCTGAGCGCCAAGCTTACAGCCTACTTTCAACATCATCAGCGATGTCCAAGCATGACAGAGGCTATCTCAGAACATATCATCCCTCCGCCGCCTGAGTTTGATTACGAATTTCCGTTCATGCATCAGCCTGCCTTGGACGAGAGGCAAAATGAGGAGCCAAGGGACGGCCATCCTCCAGCTAAGTGGCAGCAGCAGCAGACACGTGCCGAAGACCTGGATCCAGATAGCACCAAACACAAACAAGGCCGCCCGGTATCTGCGAAGAAGCCCTCTCAAGGGACCCGGAGTCGCTGCACCCAGACCCCTGCCAGCCGGAGGCCAGGCCGCCGCCGCTCGCGCCGGGTCACCTACTCACCGTCGGAGGCCAGCGGACCATCGGACCGGTCCGAGGACCAGTGGTCCACCCACAGTGACCGCCCTCGGCGGCGGCCGCGCAGGGGCAGCGGGCGGCGCCCGGCGGCGCGGGACCCGCCGGCCAGGAGCGGCGGTTCCAGGCCGGTGAGCGGCCGGTCCTCCCAGGCCGCCGGCTCACGACCCGTCAGTGGGAGGTCACAGAGGGCAGCCGACCGACCCACCCTCCTGGAGGAGGTGCACCGCAAGGCCAGGGACCACAAGAAGGTCACCGCAGTGAAGAGAAGGCGGTCGAAGCGGAAAGTGTTTCAGGTGCCGAAGAATATGCCTGAGGCCATTTCACGTTTCCTGGAACAGCTGAGCAAAGACAAAGAAGCAATCAAAGTCATCCATAAAATGTCACTGGTTAGCAATAAAAAGTGACCAACAGTGACGTGTCTACGTAGTCTGGCCTCTCCTCCCCCCCCCCTGTCGGTCGAACGACGATATTTGTAATGGTGATTTTTTTTTGTCCCTGCTCCATACATTTGTGACATGCTGTTTTGCACATCAACTTTTGCAAATATGGTAACAGAATATATCCTTTTTACATTCGCAGCATGCTTTTATAAAAAAAGAGAAACAACGTTGTGTCATTTAACCCGCGCCGTGCCGGTGGCCTGAACTTCCCGCCGAGTGCTGGGGGAGGCGTTTTCACGTCTCCCCCTCTAACTCGGCTCCTGGGCCACGTAGCGACACGCGGTAAGCGGCAATCGGAAGAGCGTCAAAAATAAGGAAGGTAACACTTCGGTCATTTTTAAGGTCAGGTCAAATTTCAGGTCACCAGAGGTCATCAAAGGTCACATTTAGTCCCTTTCAATAATTTTGGAAACTGCCAACGGCTAACTCGGGAGCCAATATGTAGGGCTAAAGCGCCGTGGAAAAGCGCATTCGATAGCCCTTTTACAGACCTTTCTGAGTAATGGTCCCAGATTTGACCTCAGATCAACGGTTTGGCCTCCAGAAGGCAAAGACGGTAAAAATAGCCGTTTTTACGAAAAAAAATGTTTTTTTCGGCAATAACTTTTATGTATGCTTTTGACTCAAGAGAACCACGATATTACTTTCGGCAGCATCGTGCTCCTCTCGTCGAGATGCGTCGATTAAATGATGTGTTGACCTTGAAAGGATGTTTTGAAAATTTGACCTAAAAAGGTCATGACCTGACCGGAAAGGGTCATGTTGTATATCAATCGATCCATATCGTCGAGCTGAACACATCTGACGTGTTTTCATCGCTCTAGCACGTCTCTATCAAAAGTTATAGCCAAAAAACTGCTGGTCATCGTTCATGACCTGAGATGACCTCAGGGGCATACAGGGGGGTCACAGATGCATTTGTCCGACTCAGTGTGTCATTTTTTCCTACGAGCTGATGTTTGAGGGTGTTTTGAACGACATTCGTCCAAAAGAGGTGCATTTCAATTTTCTTCCATTGACTTATTATGCGAGAGGTCGTCGCAAAATTGACCTGACCTTAGGTCACAGATATAAAAAGTCCGATATATAATTTTAATACATTCTGTTACTCATATCAATCGCTGAAAGTTTCAAAGTGGTCGTTGTTTCGGTGTAGCTATAGCGAACCTTTGAACCCTTTCTGAGGTAAGGTCATTTGACGTGACCTGGTGTCCTGGTCTTGATCGACCCGGGTCTGAAATTTTCAGAACATGTGCGGAAACGATGTATCACGTTTTTGAGATATCTGCGAAAACCCTGAGGAGGGGGCAGCGTAAAAAGGCCCCCCAGCACGGCGCGAGTTAAGGGGCGCTAAATTAAAAAAAAAAACACCGATCTTACATAATTAACCCTTGCAGGTCACGTCATGTGCCAATGTAATACCGCGTCACCCGAGGTCATCTTAGGTCATTTCTCAGTTCCCCTTTTGCCAAATAAAAGCTATGATATTATTCGAATCAGCTTGCTGCAACTAAGGTGTCGGGTTTTTACTTGTCAAATATGGCTATTTGTTCCACGTATGCTTCTGCCCCGAAGTTAACTTGAAACAAAAACCCATTTATTTAGTTAACTTTTCTTAAAATTGTTCGACGTCACCAGTGTCACCATGAGACCTTCAAATTGAGAAAAGCTGACTTACTTCTTTTTAGAGAAAACACTCGTTTTTTTTTCTTGCTCGCTTTAAGTTCCAGTTGAATTCGAGCGAATCGCGAAAGGGTCGTGCTCCATTTGAGCCGATGAGGGACGCAAAATATAGCGACTGCCCCGCACCGTCAAGGGCTAGAGCCAGATTAGACTTGCTTCTCACTCCGAGCTCGCTTGTTATCAGGAAACTACCTTCACTCATTTTGTTCCAACTTTTTATTCTGTGGATGTTATAAAATTCAGAATCCAAATGTGCCAGTATTGTTGGTTTTTACTTTTAGCACCCAGTCGATAATTTCCGGGAAGAAGCAATAACTTTAATCGGAATGTTGAATGTGCCCACATTGCCAATACCCGTGACCTTTTTACCGACCTAATATAATTACTTGCGTGACCGCTGTCAATGAAAGTAATTGACCACTTGTCAATGCAAGTGATGCATTGACCACTGTCACTGTTAGGAGACTATTCCCTCAGGCCGGCCAAAGTGTGACATCCCTTCTAGTGGACGATGTCATGAAGCTTGGTAGTATTTTACATCAACTGTGTATTTTACCTTACTGAAAGCAGCTACACCCCTTAGAAGTGGGTTGTTCTATTAGGAACGGATGACGCTCGTTTTGGTGTGAAATGTAACCAAATGGGTGAAAAATTGTGTTGAGCCGTCTTTCACGCCCTTTTTATGAAATCGGCCGCCGGTATCGAAACGGGGCAGTATCACAGACCGTGACCATCAGCCCCCATCTCCCCTCTCCATGACGTGTCCCTGTGATCCTGTGATCCTGACCTGTGACCCTGATATATCCCCCTGTGTATTGCTCCAGAGCTGCCGATGAACAAGGTGCAGGTGGGGACGGCTCCTCCGCCGAACTTGAGCGCCGTCCAGTCGCGGATCGGCTCCCTGGCCAACACCGGCTACCGGCCCGGCGGCGGCGCCGTGAAGATCGAACACCACAAGGTGGACGTGAGCAAGGCGGCGCCGCGCGTCCAGGCGCGCTCCGACTACCGACCCGGCGGCGGCAACAAAAAGGTCAGACCAAGGTCATATATAGGGGTCAGACCGGGGAACAGGGCAGGGACTGCCGCAAAGGTCACCACAGTAACGTCAGTCCGGGCAAAACAGGGCCAGCGATCCAGGGAAGTGAAAAGGATACAACTTGTCTGATGCTGACGAAATACTTTTGATGGCTCCTGGCGAAATCTTCAATGTCTGTTAGCTTCCTGTGGTATCAAATGACATTTGGCTCAGCGGACTAAGTCTCACATATTCTTTTCGAATCGAGCCATCATCTTCTATTCTTGTTGCCGTATTCACCGGCCTGCGGTCTGTCACAGATCGTTCTGCAGAAGCTCGAGTGGAAGGGCCAGCCGAAGGTGGGCTCCCTGGCAAACACCAAGTACAAGCCGGGCGGGGGCAATGTCCAGGTGGAGTCGCAGAAGCTCGACTTCAAGCGCCAGGCGGCCTCGAAGGTCGGCTCAAAGGCCAACATTCACCACAAGCCTGGCGGCGGCGACGTCAAGGTAGGTCACCGCGGTGCCGTGCCGTGCACGCGAGAGAGCGCGCCCGACTGCACGGCAGCGTTACTTCACACAGACATTGCCAAACTGGTCCGGTCGGCTGCTCACAGCTAGGATATTCAGTGGCATTTCAGAGCTGATGTGCAACTGGCAGATAATCCGTGGTGCTCGGTCGGACGAGGACTCCCTGCGCAATGAGCGCCTCATCTCTACGTTTTAAATGTCATCGCTCACATGTTCACATGTTTAATAAACGTTGATATTCGACGAAAGATTGCTGAAAGTAATCTGTAGTTAATACTGTCAAGTAAGAAATGTTAGGCTGCTGGCAAATGATAACTTTCTCTTCCTTGTGCTATTAAATCATTATGTCTTCAATGACAAAGTGTGTGTGCATTTTTATCCACGGGCGCTGCATAAGCTTTCTCATTTCCTCTCAGCGTTTTTTTCGAAACTTCTTCCATCCAATGTGCGACCTGCATTCCGGTGTATGTCTGTGTTGAGTTGGGGATTGTATCATACTAAGGCCTATATATGCATACATTACACAACACATACAATTCAAACACCATTACAACCATTATATCAGGCAGTATGTAGACATGTTACTGCACACTTCGATGTATTCAAAACAGGTATGCCTCTTGCGTTTAACATTGACGTTGAATCGCATGGCTTATGTTCTCTTCAAAACGTGCATGCATATGCACTTGCAGCATATGCTAAGTAGCAATGCTGGAGAAAAAATGGGCGGGTGGTCAGCTCTGAATACAATAGGGCCAAGCGTGCTTATTTTATGACGCTCGTAGCTAGACTGCAAACATTGCTAATTGGCTAATTAGCTGGCATGCAGCTAACAGCTTACTGCCGTGCCGGGCTTCTCTCAGCGCTGATAACTTGTCTGAGGTATGTGTTTGGCTTATGTCGCTTAGAGCTGCCTCGCTTTTTGCCGATATCTGACTCGCCCGGCTCTCCGTATACTCGTATGTCTTGTCAATGTGCTGTGACCGACCTTTGCGCCCTGTTCAGCTGCTGGGTGTATCTCCTCGGTCCCGCAGTCAGAGTCGCAGCAATGTAAGTGTCCGCTCTGCACGCAGTTACCTGTGGTATCGGCTCTCCCCGCACCCGCTCAGCTCTGTCAGAGGCCGTGTGTGGCGTGCTGCATGTCCGTCTGCTGCTCCCCGAAGCATCCAGCTTCTCGTGACACCACACGGCTGGGATGTGATCGTGATCGTCAGCCCGGAGCGCACCCCACCTGCATGTTACATATTTTCTTGTGTGCGTGATTGAATGGACAACACTAACAAAGCTGCACCACGACAGCTCATACAAGTCTGGTTTCAGACACCTCAACACTCCATGTTTCACATTAGTTCTTTACACCTCCCATGCAGCACACGTGCTCGTATCAACCGGCAAAGCCAGACAAAACAGTACCGATGAAGCCTACCAGACCTGCACCCACACACACACCGCCACTGCAGCGGACACCTACAGGGGCACCGTCCCCGCCATGTGGCCCGCCCGGTGACGCCCGGTGACGCCCGGTGACGCCCGGTGACCCCCGGTGACCCACCCGGTGACGCCCGGTGACGCCCGGTGACCCCTGGTGACCCCCGGGGACCCCTGGTAACCCACCCGGTGACGCCCGGGGCGCCGCCGCCGCAGGTGACCTCTCAGCGCGTGCAACTGTCGTCCGTCTCCAGCAAGGTGGGCTCTCTGGACAACGTCGGCCATCGTCCGACCGGCGGCGACCGGCGCATCTTTGAAGACACCGCCTACCTGCGACAGATGCGCTCTGCGTCGACCGACGGCCGGTCCCGGCGGCTGGGGTCCCGGCCGTCCGACCCCGGCTCCGGCTCCGAGGCCGGCACCGGCTCAGAGGCCGGCACAGAGCCCGGCAACGGTGCCGAACCTGGCACTGAGCAGGGCGCCGATCCCGGCACCGAGACCGGCGCTGGGCAGGGCACCGAGACCGGTGCTGAGCCAGGCAACGGCACCGGCGCTGAGCTCGGCACTGAGGAATCCGGTGCCCCCAACACTCAGCCCGGCACTCAGCCTAACACTGAGCCCGACAAGGGCACCGAACCCGACACCGAGGGATCCGCTCCCGGCACAGAGTCCGGCTCCAGACCCGGCACTGACTCCAAGCCCGGCTCCGGCACCAACCCCGGCGCTGAGCCCGGCACCAACCCCGGCACAGAGCCCGGCACCGTCGCTGGCTCCAACTCTGGCTCCCTAAAGGGTAGCGGCGATACCGTAAGATAACTTCGTCTGATCTCCCTGGTCTGCATACATGTGTGGTAGATAGTGGCGTATCATAATGATTGCATTGTAAATCAGGAACAGGCGAATTAACTTAAAAAAAGGAAACGTGAATGCTTAGTTCATGAAGTAGGTGCGAGCACTGGTGCGTGGCGGAACAATAGTCGGAGAAAATTGAGTAATGAAGCTCGCCGTTAATCAACAGCATTCAGCTTATGATTTTTTTGTCGTCTAAGCGACGTGCAAAAACTGTTTTATTTAAATATAATTTCTAGTGTCTTTGAATGAAACATGTTTAGTTTGAAGAACAGATTGTAAATGATTGAGATAAAACCAGGATAAGGTATCACGTCATCAAGAATGGTTGCTTTTGTGACATAATTTGTTCCATGAATCACTTTAAACAATCGTTTAAAGGCTGGTTGGTAGGTATACGAGTATGTAGTTGGTGAACGTAAAGACAGCAGGAGGGTATGTCGAAAAAGTCGTGGACCTTGATAATGGCTCTGTGTTACAGAGTCCAACACCACCAAACGGGAAAAAGACACCTTCCAGATCTCCGTCGCGCTCTAGAAATTCGCCAACCTCCGGAGGAAAATCTCCAACACCGGGCGCAAAATCTCCAGAAAAGGACAGGAAATCCCCAGCGCCGGGTGGCAAGTCGCCAGGCGCGACAAACGAGCCGCTGGCACCTCCCGGGCAGTCGGCGGCCAGCCGAAAGTCTTCAGCCGAAAACTCGCTTCCACCAGTGAACGGGGCGTCCCCCAAGCCGCTGAGATAACGGAATTGTCTGCACTGACGACTGCCATGCTCTTTGCTTTTATCAGTGGTAGCATGCATACTCATTTGTTCGCACGTAATCAAACAGTCAAACTGATCAGAACTTTGTGTAGTAGGTAGGCACACAAATATTGTTTTGTTATCAGAAATATTTTTCGTTAATGTTTCCCGTGCTCTGTGCGCCGTTAAGCTTTAACCGTGATTAATCGGTGTTTTATTTGGGAAATAAATTATGTCAAGATGTTAAGAACGCTTTGTTAGGCGCTTTAATGATGCTATTTTACGTCAACTAGCGCTATTGTATGCGTGATGAATGTCTCTCGCCTTCAGCCGAATTCCGCCTGTCACAGCTAAGGTGTAATCGTCACAAAGTAAACAGCAAGCAGTCCAGCTCGCAACCATCGACATCTGCACATTGTCGAGGGAAGAGCCTGCTAAAGCCCCGGATTTGTCGGATCCCCCAGAAAGTTGTGTGCTTTTGGCACCGTTCGTCGTAGCGGGGTCACACTTTCAATAGATATCACCTTTTCTTTCTATCTCTTGGTACACCAGCAGTTTGGTGTTGCTTAACTAGCTCTAGCTTTAGATAATAAAGGCTCAATAAAACTTAAGTATTTGTTATCACTGAATGCAAGCCAGCGAGGATGAAATGATTTGAAGGAACACAAATCGATCATGTGAAAATAAATGTTAAAAGTACGTTTGAGGACAGCTCACAAGAGTAAGGTTACGTGAAATAGGTACCGAACAAAACCGAATCCTTGCAGCAAGAAGGTGAGGAACACTGAACACACCAAGAATGGAAGTTTTCCTTTTTCTAATTTATGTATTTCAGCTTGCCTATTGTCCTTCCTTATGGTTTATGGAAAACGAAATAGAATATCACACCGATAGTATTGCCTTTAAATTGGCATATTATAAGGAACTTTCAAAGTATCAGTCACGTCGTTTATGTAACGTGTATTACATATCAAATGATCGGTAACAATTGAGTACCTTGGGACGCATGTTAGCTACTGGGTAATGAGCATATGATGCCAAACAACATACACATGGCATTGCGACCCTGATTGTTACCGCAAACAGCAAACACTCGCAAAATCCACATTTTATAACATTTAAAACATTAGCAACGTGGCTGTGTCACTTAATGCTCAGACATCACCAAAAGCATAAAAAACAGTTTCACTTTGGGCGCCGAGCACCTCTCGAGCGGCGGGCGATTCGCACGTCAGTGTGGCGTGTGCCGCCCGTCCGCGGTCGCCCACGCCTGGGCGGCTTTCTGTTTCGCCGGGAGGCCGCCGGCGGTCCGGGAGGCCGGCACAAGCCGCGCCGTGGTCGGGCCGTGCCAGCGAGCCGCGCACGGCCCGGCCGGAGGACCCACGGGCAACGAGCAGCACTTTCACTGAGGCCGGCCGGCGGCGGCGGTAGCGGCGGCGGTGGCAACAGCGAATCGCGATTGAGGCGCGATCGACCGTCTCACTCACCGGCTCGATCGAACACTCACTCGTCGGCCGACCGTTTTTCAGTTGAGGAGACACCTTCTGTCCTGCACCTCCCCTTCCCTCAGGGGCGACACTTTCCGAAAATTATTGGTAGGGCTCTAATGTAAATTTTTGCCAATTCAAAGCGATTCTTTCCACGCAACGCCATAGGCATAATGTTAAATTTCCAAAATTATTGGTAGGGCTCGGGCCCTACCATGCCTATACAAAGCGACACCCATGCCTTCCCTGCTGAGCCGCGCTGCACAGTGAGCACGGACCTGGACCTGACCGCGATCCGACAAGGTCAGGGTCATGAGTGATGAGCTTGGAATCTGAACTCAAGGGATGCGCGTGGAAGGCGGAAACCACCCGGCTGCAAACTTGAGGTTGCACTGATGACAGTCACAGCTCGAAGTCTTCTACAAGTAGCACCTTGTCGAAATTTATCGACACCCAACGGCACCAGCGATTGAGTAAATACGTAGGCATGAGTCACTACCCTTTCACTGCACACAGACGTCTTTAGCCAGCAGAAGTGGGTCGCATTCGGCGCAGGCGCCGCGCAAAGTCCCTCAGCCAGTGGTAAGTACACTGTTGTATCGACCGCGACTGGCCATCGGCCGCCGGTCCCGGTCAGTCTCTGAGGTCCTGTGGTCCCGTCCGGTCCGACCTGGAGGTCCTGTGGTCCCACTCAGTCACACCCTGAGGTCCTATGGTCCGCCTGGTCACACTCGGAGGTCCTGTGGTCCCTCTCGGTCACACTCGGAGGTTCTGTGGTCTCTCTCAGTCACACCCGAAGGTCCTACGACCCCACACGATCACACTCGCAGGTTCTGTCGGATCCAAGGCAGGAAGTTGGTGACTCGCGTATAGACGCCTGGGTAGCCGGCCTGGGCGCACCGGTTTCCGAAGGAGACGATGCCCAGCTGCATGTAGCGTCCGCGCTCGTAGTAGACGAGGGGGCCGCCAGAGTCGCCCTGTCGGGGGCCGGGAACACCAGTCAGCGGTCGGACGGCACTCGGACAACACATGAATAGAGACCGGTCTTTTATGACCCAATTCGACACGCTGCGATACATGAATAGCGTGCTTCTAAGTGGAGAATGATGACACTTTTTAAATAAAATGACAGCCGAACTGCTACACAAACAATTGAAAAGAACCTGAACAGTACAGTTGACTTTTTCACGGCAACACTTGGAGCCTTCAGAACTGCTGCATATTCATTCGGTCAGGCCGCCGGTGTGTACTAGCATGTTTCCTTTTAGTGTATACTTTTAGCTTGTTTTCTTTTCAGTGTTGCTCATAGTAGATACCTACCTATGTTATGCCGTGCTTTTAACTACAGTGTTGTGAATCGTTTGTGTTTTCACCTCATCTTGTTTATGATTTTATGTACTGTTTTGACTGCACCTGTTAAAAGGGCGTTTGCCTGTGGGTGCTTGTAGTAAATACAATACAATACAATACAACCTGAGTGCATCTAAGACCTTGTGCATATTTACTTTTCCTCCTTCCCTTTTCGACAAATATTCGTCTGGATCTGCTCGCGTCTGGATCTGCTCGTCTGGATCCCTGACTGCTCGCTGAGCCCAGCCCAGGTCTGTGAGGATGTATCAGCGGCTCACCTGACAGGCGTCCTTCCTGCCGTCGTCGTAGCCCGCGCAGATGAACATCTCTTGGATGGGCTGGAAGTAGGCCTCGTCGCAGCTCTGCTGGGTCCAGATGGGCAGCTCTGCACTGCGCAGCTGAGGCGACTCCTTACCGCCTGGAATAGCCCGAGCAGTCATGCGTCAGTCGTTACCGGATTTAAGCCACTCAATAATCATTTGCAACGACATCGCTTATTGCTTGCTTCTTTGGATACCAAGAGTTCAGTCAATGATGTGGCAATTCGTCCTTTCTCTTGGCTCAAGCTCATTTACATTTGGTTATCTCAGCGAGATGTGAGATGTTGTTGTTGTCACTGAGCGCGTGTCGGTGCGGTGGCCGGGCCGGTATGCCGGGAGGACCAGTGACGGTTCAAGGTCGACGTCTGAGACCCGTCAGTCCAAACCGAAAGGCTCCCTTTCACCGGGGAAATATTTCACTGGATGGCTCTGGAGCCGTCGTTACAGGGGTGACCCGTGTCGCAACTCAGCAGATGACCGAGGGTCGTGGTCCGCAGCGCTTCATTTTGTAATATCGCGAACCACAGAAACAATAATACGTCCCCGGCAAGGTTGCATTTGGAAACTTATTGCGACAATAACCGAAGGAGAAAAAGTGTTGAATAATTTTTCATGATTAAGTTTTTACTTAGTGAAACTAATAGTAAAGCAGTTTTGACTGCCTGATTACGTCACTTGCGGCAGAAACATTAACCGTCCATCCTACTATGGAAGTGTCATCCGATGACGCCCGGTGACGCCCCGCCAGCTCACCGTATGTGGTGACGCCCCAGCCGATGACGTGGGACGTCCTGCCGACCAGCGAGTCGAGCGCGGCGCCCTCGTACTCTTCCGGCAGGCAGATGGGGATGGTGAACTCATTAAAGTCCACCGGCCGGTCCAGCTTGAACAGCGCTATGTCGTTGTAGTAGCCGTTCAACTGGAAATGGGAAACGGCGTCAGGGTACTGGAACTAGAAAACGAAGTGGTTCACGACCGCACAACAGTTTAAAACTGTATCATGTAATCTTCGCCCGAGTGATTTCGCTGCAGATGAATCCCGGTTCGGATCATATAAAATAGACTACGTCGCAATATGTAGTCAGATACAGCCCTTTATACTGAATCATTCGAGACATTTCATGACGGATAAATTACTCGACAACAGGTCCCAGGGATCAAAGGATTAGGACTCGGCAGCTTAGGAATAACGACGTATGGTGTTTCCCAACACAACCTGATCTCAGTAAGTGTGCCACTGTGACCTTAACCTCCATGAAAGAGCTTCTTCGAGCACATTCAGACGATACCCCCATGCGTGACGCCACTGCCACACGTCATCACCCGTTTGTGCCGTCATTGTTTCCCGCGCTGCCCCGGGAGGTCCCACTGTGCGGCGCCGTGTCGAGCCGGACTGTGCGCGGTAGGGACGGGTGGCGACCTCACCTTGAAGTCGGGGTGTGCCGTGTACTCGGACACGCGGTACGTGACGGTGGCCGAGGCCTCCGATTGTGTGGAGAGGTCCGTGTCGCCCAGGCGGACCGTGAACTGACGAGGGTGGAAGCTGAAACACGCGCGGAGTCGGCGTCAGACAGACGCTGGGAACCCGCGTCCAGCGCGCCAGGGGAGACGCAGCAATGACGTCTCCCCTGGATTGAACGTGCTGGTAAAGCGAGCAAAATCACTCAAAGCCTATAAAGTTACTAGAAAGTAAAAAAAAATATGTAATGATGTTTCACAATAAATAGCAAAGCTAATTTATTGATCGACGATGTAAATTAAGGTAATGGAGCTCAAATCACTTAAATAGTTTCGCTTTCTTCAATGTCTCTTTAATTGCACCGATAAAATGTAACGTAGTACGACCATGCCAGTGATGTTATAACAACCAGCGAGTTGTCACTGACCTCTTTCCCTTGGAGTCCTTGGTGCAGTGGGCGGCCGTCATGATGTACTGGCTGGAGATGAGCGATCCGCCGCACCAGTACTCCTTGCGACCCTTTCCGTGCAGGTAGATGGCGGCCATCCAGGGCCACTGGCCCGGACGGGACACGTCGCCTCCCACCACACGGAACTGGGGGGACTGCGGCACTCCGCAGGCTGCAAGGACAGAGGTCAGGTCAGGTCAGTGATACACCACCACACGGAACTGGGGGGACTGCGGCACTCCGCAAGCTGGGGGCGGGGCAGGTCAGGTCAGTGATACACCACCACACGGAACTGGGGGGACTGCGGCACTCCGCAGGCTGGGGCGGGGGTAGAGGTTAGGTCAGGTCAGGTCAGTGGTACCCCACCACACAGAACTGCGGCACTCCGCAGGCTGCAAGGACAAGGGGCAGGTCAGGTCAGTGATACACCACCACACGGAACTGGGGAGACTGCGGCACTCCGCAGGCTGGGGAAGGGGGCAGGTCAGGTCAGGTCAGTCAGTGATACACCACCACACGGAACTGGGGAGACTGCGGCACTCCGCAGGCTGCAAGGACAAGGGGCAGGTCAGGTCGGTGATAACTGATACCCCACCACACGGAACTGGGGAGACTGCGGCACTCCACAGGCTGGGGGCGGGGGCAGGTCAGGTCAGTGATACCCTATCACACGGTACTGCGGCGCCTGGAGCACTCTACAGGCCGAAACAGAGGTCAGGTTGGATGTTCTTAGATTGACCATAAAACATGGATTTTGAAAGCTATGCCATGTTTTGGAGTCACGTGTTCAGGAGGATTTAGCGAGTGAATCATTCATTATAACTCTGGAACAGCCGTTTTTATTGACTGGCCGAAAGTCGCCCTTAAATTGAAAAGTTGATCCGTAACAAATATGCGTAATTCCATGAAAGCAGGATAACACTGTCCTGAAATCAATTAGAGATACTACATTATCTTCCATCAGAGCTAACGGGCGAGACCATCGGAACAGTAGGCACAGACTGCTAGCTGATCATCGCAGAGGTATATTTTGCCGCAATACACAGACAACGGGTAGACTGCGCCGCAATACACACCAGCCGCCCAACGGGTAGACTGTGCCGCAATACACAGACAACGGGTAGACTGCACCGCAATACACACCAGACGCCCAACGGGTAGACTGCACCGCAATACACACCAGCCGCCTGACGGGTAGACTGCACCGGAATATACATCAGACGCCCAACGGGTAGACTGTGCCGCAATACACACCAGCCGCCCAACGGGTAGACTGCACCGCAATACACACCAGCCGCCCAACGGGTAGACTGTGCCGCAATACACAGACAACGGGTAGACTGCACCGCAATACACACCAGCCACCTAACGGGTACACTGCACCGCAATATACATCAGACGCCCAACGGGTAGACTGTGCCGCAATACACACCAGCCGCCCAACGGGTAGACTGCACCGCAATACACACCAGCTGCCCAATGGGTAGACTGTGCCGCAATACACAGACAATGGGTAGACTGCAGTCTGCACCGCAATACACATCACACACACAACGGGTAGACGGCACGGCAATACACACTATGCAGCCGCCCGACGGGTAGACTGTGCCGCAATACACAGACAGCGAGTAGATTGCACTGCAATACACAGACAACGGGTGTAGACTGCACCGCAATATACAGACAATGGGTAGACTGTACCGCAATACACACACCTGCTATATAGACTGTACCGCACTACACAACAAACGCCCAATGGGTGGACTGCACCGCAATACACAGACAATAGGTAGACTGTACCGCACTACACACACCTGCTATATAGACTGCACCGCACTACACACCTGCTAGGTAGACTGTGCCGCATTACACATGCGCACCTGACAGGTAGACTGCACCGTAATACACATTACATGCCCAATTGATAGATTGCACCGCAGTACACGCATACTCTGCCTCACTGAAATGAAAAGGTACCTATAAATATAACACAAACAAGGGATGCCTGTCTTATTGATTCTGGTTTAAATTAGCCTAAATTCATGGTATGTGTAAGAATGCACGTACACAAAAACTAGCAAGTTCTCACTACTTATGAACCAGCAGTAGACGTGTTATAGGCAGTAAAATTCACATAAGTGAATCATAAACGGAGCCCTCAGCCGGCCGGCGTACTCACGGAAGCGCCGCTGCGGTGTTACGGGTACGCCGGGGATGCTGACTGGCGGCGGACGGGACACCGGCGGGGGCCGGCCGGCGATGGGGGGCAGCGGGCGCGGCGGCTGCGGCCTCTGGGGCCTCTGCGGGCCCAGGCCCTGGCCCAGACCCTGGCCCAGAGAGCCGCCGAACGACGGCCGGGTGGGCACCGGAGCAGGCCGGACCGGCCGCTGCGCCACCGCCGTCTGGACGCCGCTGGATGATGAGCCCGTGCTGGAGGGAGGGGGTGGCCGTCAGTGGGCGTGAACGAGCAATCAGGATGTTATGTCTGGTAAACGAAGGCATTGAGGTGTGCCGTCCACGTTTAATAGCTATGCGAAGCAGCGGTATCATGCTCGTTTGGTTGGGTCGTGTGATGTGATGATATTTGTGATTATATTTGTGATTTGTGATTATATTGTGATTATATTTGGCTGGCACCTTCCGCTTAACATTCATCGACTTTTGAAGTAAACAGTGACGTAATATTGCCTTTAGCATAAACTACAAATTTATTATCGAATGTGTTTTCATGTTGATTCACCTCAGAGGATGGCGAAAATGATGTGCATTATGGGGAAACGACAGACCGCCATTACACAATGCGCATTGCTTGCACATTGCAAATGCCAAAGTCAACATCCAGCCTGCAAGCGGTGGTGCTCGGCCCTCCCCTCACCTGGGACAGCAGACGCCGGGCACAAACAGCGACTGGAAGCAGATGCTGTTGCGCAGGTTGCCCAGGTCAAGCAGCATCTGCGGACAGGCGCTGAGGTCTCGGCACTCTCCGCTGGTCAGCTGGGGCGTGGTGCAGCTGGGCGCCGGCTGGCCGCTGTTCTGCTGGGCCGCCGCCGTCTGCGCCACCGGCTGCACGGCCGTCGCGGCAGCAGCCCCCGACTGCTGGCCGAACGCGGGGTCCAGCGGCTGGGATGGCCCGCCCAGGCCGCCCAGGCCGTCCTCCGGCAGCAGTCGGTCCACCAGCGGGCTGGCCAGCGGCCGCAGCGCGCTGGTCACGTTCGGGCCCAGCACGCTGTTACCGGCCAGCACCAGGGCGCCCTTCACCAGCTCCTTGAAGAGGCCGCGCGAGTCCCCTGAGCGGTCGCGACCTCCCGAGTCCGAGTCTGTAAACACGGAAATGTGGTCTCAGGAAAAGGTTATGCCATGGTAAGACTAAAGTTTTGTTTTCTCGCCCCGTTGGGGGGCCATTTTGTTCCCCCCCTGTGGTTTTTCCTGAATAGCAAGAAAACGGCGTTGCGCAGCGCTGCCAAATTTTCAGTACCTTCCCGGGCATCAATTTGACACCTTCACACCAAATTTCAAGTCTTAGGTAACCTTAGGTCAGGAGTTATTGAGGTCAAACTGAGGTCATGTTTGTGCAAAAATGAGCAAAAAACATGCAATCTTGAAACGCTCACCAAATCTACAGTTATCAAGCAATTTCAAAGTTTTTTATATGGTCTGGTAGACAAAAAGCGGCGCTACAACACTGTTATCTCGGATTTTCAAAATTTTGGGTTTTTGACCCTCAAAAATTCAAAAAAAATATTTTTTTAGAAAAACTAAAAACAAACAAACAACTTTCCGAATTTCGAAAAAACCGGAATATATGTGATAGTCCCTGCGCTCTTCTATATACATACCAAATTTCAGATCGATATCCTGTTTTTTGGCCAAGTTATAGCGAAAAAACTGTTCAAAAATGATGACGTCAAATTTTGAACTCAATTTTTAGCGATTCTAGACCACGTACGGCAAAACAAAGACCACCATTGAACTCCCCGTGACGAGCTGCATCGATTCAATACCCATTTTATGCAAAAATATCAACTTTGAAATTTGACCTAATTTGACCTGACCTTGACCTGACCTTGACCTGACCTTGACCAAAACGTGACCTAAGCTGGCCCCAAAGGCTGTCTGACCCACATAATCGCATTTGTCATGTAAAATGGACCATAAAACATGTATCACACGACACTTTCATATTGTGACCCCCCAGTGACCTGACCTCTGTGACCTGACCTGGTATCAGTGACCTCAAATAGCAAAATATTTGTTTGAAGAACATTTCCCCATCGATGATTTTCTATGAAATGCATTTTACTCGATTTTACAACGCATTTCTTGAAATGCCTGTAAACGGTGAAAATTGGACCTTTGACCTGACCTGTGACGTCATCGGTTTGACCTAGGTCAATAAAATTGGGTCACAAGGTAGTTCCCTGATAGGGCTATCCAACACCGTTTGCCGCTTGTCGCTAGGTTGCGTGGTTCTTGAGATCTTAGGGGTGGGAGCAAAATAGCCCCCCCCCCCCAACGGGGCGCGTTGCTCGGCAGAGCCAAACGGGGCGCGGGTTAATGGATGGATTAATCATTCTTAAATTTTTCTGGAATGTTTTCGGTACTGCATTATAAACGTACGCTGTTCTTCGGTCCCAGAGTCACTGGTCAAAGTTGTTTCCCATTATGAATTATTCACCAACCCTGAACAACGGGAAACATGCATGACGTGACCTACTAAAAGTGAAGACCGTTGGTGACATAGGACGTGAGCGGCTAGAGGCGATCGCATCTGTGTCTCGCTCTGTAGGGTTGCAGGTGCATACCTGTTGAGGCGGCATCTTTTTCTGCCGAGGCGGTTGAGCAGACAGTGAGCAGCAAAATGCCAATCGCACACTGTATCAATCTTCTTGGCTTCATATCTGAAACAGAAGCAACCCATGGGCCATGTAAACACTCCAACTCTACATATACACCTTGAACAGGTCATATTCCACTAAAGTAAGAACTAAGAGCAAAATAAACCAATGGCAGTAACAACTGAGTATCTGTAAGGTTTAGCAGCAGAAGAACCAAGCTATGCGCTGATATTTACACAACTGTTTCGATTTTACGTTGGACGTGTACCCAGTCATGCTGAAACCATACATAACAAGCGTTGCGATTGCTTGGCAGTGTCGTGGGTCGCGTTCACTTTCGTTCAGGATTTCCGCTTCATGCTTTACGGCTGTGCGGCGCGAACACCCCGTTTACCACACTACTTCGTAACCAGCTTCTCGCGCGGTCCGCGGCCAGCACATTTCGACACACCACGCTGCCGCTGCCGCCCTGTGACTGCCCCAGGGTACATAACCGCATCTCCGGGTCGGTCGGCCGGGTGCCCGGGACGCCGGATCCCGGGAAGAGAAGGGAGAGGGAGGGAGGGAGGGAGGGAGGTGGACAGAGGTCCGGCCGGCCGGGTCAAGGTCAGGGCACATCCTGGAGAGTGGCCGGCTGGCCGGGTCCCCTGCTCAGGTGGCGTAAGACCTCGCGGGCCGCACGTCCGCCCGCCGGCCGGCCCGGGGGCTGTGACGTCACAGAGGGTCTGACCCACACCGGCAGAACACAGGGAAACCCCAAGGTCAGCCACGCACCGGCGACAGACGCGCACCCACTGCGCGTGTTATGGTGCCGCGTTCGGGGAAGCGTTTCTGGAGAACGTTCTCTGGTCTTTCCCAGCTGTCTCAGCTGTAGTGGTGTAAAGCGTTTTTTTTTCTTAAAGTTATTTGGTTGCTTGGGGCTGACAAGAGAAGACAAATATATTTTAAATGCTAGATATTGCCAGAAATGCTTAGCAAATTTGATGATTCATACACATTGCAAAACATGACAGCGTTGCACTGTATGTAAGAAAGAATTGAAAGGAATAGAATAAACAATAAGAATAGCAATAAACTCTGTCACATAATTATGTAACAGAATATACATAGATCTTGCAGTATATAAACAGAACGATGCCATTTCTGATTTGACAGATCCAGAAAACAAAACAAAAAAGTTTCACTTGATTTATCTGCTACATGAGTTGTATATCAATGGTGTATGTCAAGCTGTCGCATGTTTTATGGCAGCAGCATGGTGACATTCATCGTTTCGAGCGATTTGCCAATCATTAGGTTCGTAGAGGAGAGTGGGGTAAGATGCCCAGGGTGGGAAAGACGCCCCACCCCCTCTAGCGGCGAAACAAAGAATCGGACCTGGAAATTAATGTTCTTAGCGTAAAGCGGAAGCCTGCCTTGTTAACTGCACCAAAAAATTGCGAAGCTCAGTTGGGCAACGGCTGGCTGATGATTGCATGTTTTTATTTGCTGCTTTCAAAAAATATTTTGGTGTCAGAACATTGTAAATATCAAAGAAGGTAAATAATTTTTGCGTCCCTTGCTATAGTCGTGATACATTAGCATGCGTGCACTGTGTCCCAAACAGTTTGTTTCTGGGTGTAGTTTTATGGCTAACAAATTGTACTGATTTAATGTTACTTCGGTACCTTGGGGTAAGATGCCCCCTGTCCTGATGGGGAAAGACGCCCCCCCCCCCCTAAATCCGTAGGCTGTCCTTCAAACAGCCCGTCAAATCATTTATTACATACTTGTGATGTAGACAAAAGCCGATCTGGGACTATTGAGAGTCCAGTACGGTCGGGTGCTCCCCATGCCGGTCTCTCGGCCCACATAGCGACTTTTTGGGCGGCATCTGACTCTGAGAGCCCTCATGACGGCCTCTGTGGGCCCCATTATTGGCTCCAGGGCCCCTCACGACATCCTTTGAGGGCTTCCACGTTGGCCCCACGGGCCGCGCTGGTATCGGAGGTCCCCAGCCCCACGATGGGCTCGAGGGCCCTCAAGCATCATGAAGACCTATTAGAGCCCCACAGTGGTCTCCGAACGCCACCACGGAGGCTTGTTTGGCCGCGCTGGACTATGATGGCCCTAACGATGACCTCTGAAGCCCCTTACGACTACTTTTGAGGGCCCTTATGATGACGTTTGGTGTCTACTGCAGGCCCGAAGGGCCTACTGATTCGTTCAGGCGATTCACGTGCCCATTTATGTCACTTATAGTGCAGGGGGGGGGCATCTTTCCCAACGTCAGGGGGCGTCTTTCCCACCCTGTGGGGTAAGATGCCCCCTTTCCATAGGCGCGGGAGCCGGGGGGGCAGTGGGGGCAGCTTGCCCCCCCAACTCTGGGGCCGTGGGGGCGGTGCCCCCACAGCTTTGAGACGGAATACCACACTTTTTTTGCAAATGTTTTCTTTTTTTGTTGAAAAAGCCGAGGGGTGAAAAATAAGTGGCCTAAAACCGGTGAGAAAACTAGATTTGGGGGTACCCTAGGTTGATCTCTATTATGGTGTGCCCCCCCCCCAGTCGGAAAGTAGTTCCCGCGCCCCTGCCCCTTTCACTTCTTCAGGAAAATGCTTAATAGCAAAAAATGTTATAATATTTCAGGCACGAAAGTGTGATATTTTTGGAGAAAAATGATGTCGGCTTCCGTTGAAACTCCAAGTTTTTGCTTTCCCATCGTCATTTTCGAATAATATATGACAAAGCAAAACCCTGGGCATCTTTCCCCACTCTCCCCTATGATTTTCGCATGGTGTACGTATTTACACTTTTACGAAGTATTTTTGATTGAAGTTTGGACGGTTATTAACTTCATTCGATGTCATCCATTGTGTTGGTAAATGTCAGCGTCATGCAATGATTGCTTTACTTTTATCAAAAAAGAAATGAAATTTTTCCACAAGCTTTCGGGACGCGCAGATAATAAGTAAAAAGGGAAGTGATGCGAGTGTTTCCATTTTTGCCATGGTTCTCTATTGGTCTCCATTTTTGTGTATGTACCGAAGTAATTTTGAAATTGGTGCTTGGATTCTAAACATCGATGCATTGTTATTCTGTGCGTTTACCTATTCGAATACTGCAACACAGACCTTATTGTTATTCAGTCTACCAGTAACCTAAGATTTTGTTGGATTATGCACTTTAGCTCTAACAGCCTAATACGACGTTTATCTAGCCATCTGGCTTATTTCACTGCTTATTTTCGTGGCTTGGTAGTGCGCTTTCAGAGACGAGGTTTTAATTGCTTCAACTTCACATCGGCAATATAATCGCACACTACAGATTTCCCACCGGTTACAAGCCACTGTTACTATGCAGTACCTAGATACAATCAAAATCTACATCTGCATCTGAAAAAGTCTGCATCAAACCAGCACTCTGCAAACCTGTTGGTGATAAACCAAACCCCAGCTGATCATAATTAGCCTCTCCACGTGAACGGCGACCTTGCCCCTCCCCGGTCGGCGGGTACCATCTGCCCGATCAGCTGCTGTACAGATCGGGGCTACCCCGCCGACCAGAGGCGCTTCTCTGACCGCCGACCGGCCGACCGACGGCGGGTGAAAGTGATGTGTCACACCGCCGGTGACAACACAGGCCTGGACGGAGCGCGGATCGTGACGGGAACTCGGTCCGACCGGCTCACAGCGGCTGCTCGTGATAGAGGTCCTGCTTGAGCGGTTCCGGAGCGCACTGTTTCCGCCGGCTTCTCCATTTCATCAGGACCATGCTCGTGATGTGATGGATCGTGTTCGTGCACTCTGATGTGAGAGTGCATGGTTGATGGTATCAGATGTGGGCAAGATATTTCATTGATAAGAGTGGAAAGCACTCAAGCGTTGTCAGACATCCTTTGATGTTACTACCGTGTCCTTGTATGTCGTAACCGAGCACTGGGTGGTTTTGCTACAGATGACATCGGGCTTTTGCGCCATTTCACTTTCATAGTTTCCTATCGTCCTTCTCACCGCAAAAATCACGAACGGTCTTGCAAAACTCATTGCGTAACTGGAAATCAGTTCCTTGTTTGAAGTGCCGGTCACAGATGTTCTGGTAAATCTCCGATACAACTGATGCATTTGCATCACATCAGATACAGGGCATGTGTAAGTGTTGCGGATAGCCGAAGCTGTGTGCATCTCACCTGTAGTGTTGTTAGCTGGAGACGAAACTCACCTGGCGAGTGTCTGAGTCAGAGGAGGAGGCGGTGTGTGCAGAACGCAGGCCGGCGGCGCCAACTTTCCCTGCGCCTACTCGAGTTTGGCGCGTCAGTCAGTCAGAGCACGTGACTCGGCCAGTACTGGCGCCGCGCGAGACAGCGAGACCACGTGACTGGAGACACTGTTGACGCTGTGATAGACGAGAGGTCACAGAGGCCGCCGACTGTTGACGGCAGCTCCACTCTTCTCACTGTTGACCAATCACTCTCTCCCCTCTCACTCTCTCGGACACAGGTCCCACTGCTGTGGGCTACTGTAGCTGCTCACTGGAGCTGACCGCGGGTCACTGGGGGCGACTGTGGGGGACAGCGAGCTCTGACCGGAGCTCCTGTCACCGCCCGTGAGCCGTGCCTCCTCCGTGCCGACTGGTGGCTGCGTGGTGACCGGCTGCGACCACACCGGCTCTCCCTTTCACCGCGCTGAACTTGGCAGAGCTGGCCGGCCGGACAGGCCAGCCAGGTCGACCGCTCAGCGCAGGGCTGCAGCTGGGAGGCGGCTGCATCTGCACTGCACTGACCCACATACAGCTGTGCATGGTAAACGAGCAGTGACGGTGCTAAAGGACAACACAAACAGCGGCATGACATACAGGCGTCCGGTGTTTTATTCGTGGTATGGTTTTGCATACATACCTACAAACAAACGCAAGGCCGCATTGTAATATACCTAATGTTATACTCTTATGTCAGATTCTCGTGTGTTCCTGGTCACCGTTCCACCATTTTCCAGCACAGTCAAACCCTTCTCCTCCACGCTGTAACACCTTTGAGTGATCAGAGCTGGACGGTCACCTTCCGATGTGAGTAGTTCATCGGGAGCAGGCTCACGTGCCTAGAGGGAGCAGTTCACGTGCGATGGGGTGACCGGTAGCTCAGGGCTGGGTGGTCTCTCCTGCACTGTGATGCGACGGGCTCAGCCCGGAGGCCCACCAAGATGGCCGTCCAGACCAATTAGATGGGAGACACAGCTGACAGCCACCAAGGTGGCCGTGTCTCCCTTAACCCTATTCCTGGCGGGCTCCGCCGGGACAAGAAACTGGCGGGGGGGGCCGATTCGGCCCCCCCCCCCTAAGATCTCGAGAACGAGGCAAGATAGCGACAAGCGGTAAACGGCATCGGATACGCATGGACAAGGTCTACAATTTTTGCTAAGGTCATTTTCAGGTCAGGTCAAAGATGACGTCACAGGGGTCGAAAAAGTCAAAATGGCGGCGCTAGATATGGAGAGAGTTTTTCTCGAATAACTTTCGAATTAGTCAAGATAGGAACAAACTAAGGGCATCATCGTGATCCTCTCGTCAATCCGCATCGAATGATATATATGTTGACCTCGAAAGGTCAAGGTCAAAGGTTGACCTCAGGTCACGTGACCTCGAGGTCATCATGTATATCATTCGATGCGTCTTGACAAGCTGAACACAATGAGACCATCCACGCGTCTGTATCTTGTTCCTGTACGGAGTTATTGGCCAAAAACCTTTGGTGACCTTTGATGACGTCACATGACCTCACAGCTGCCCAACAGCAAAACAGACCTCAAGGTAGTGAAGGTTGATCGTATATGAAGTCATGTATGGTATATGGGGCCATTCCGACCCGTTTTAGTGGTAAAAACAGGGAGTTGATTTTTCCCCCTTTGACTTATAATGGGGAGGTCGCGAAACTGACCTGACCTTAGGTCACCGATATCAAAATTCCGAGATATACAAATTGCACAAACTGGTACCCTAACTAAAGCCTGAAGAGAAGAAATTGATCGGTCAAAAACTCTAGCTCTGGCATGATTGCAAACTTTTCTGAGGTAGGGTCACCAAACCGCCTCTGGTGACCTGACCTGAGGTCAGATCAACTCAAAATTTTCAGACATGTTGCGTAGAAGCCTTTTAGGAAAAGTCAGAAAATTTGAGCTTCCTAGCTCAACGCGTTTGGGAGAAATAACCAAAAAACCTCAGGGGGGCTCCTGAGGCCCCCCCCCCAGGAATAGGGTTAAATCCTATCACCAATCATCCTTCCGGCTCTGAAGTGACCTCTTTAGACCAACTTCAAAAGAAAAAGCAAAAAAAAAACTACAAAACACAGCAGGCTTTCCTGGTGTCATACACAATTTTGAGGAGTAAATGAAGGGTGGCCTCCGTTCCGTTGTTTCCATCCTCAGGATAGTCAAATGCTTCTCCTTCGCGCCTCCACTCCCTTAATTTATCCCATGCTACCCACATGGTCCACCTTACATACGAGTAGGAGCAGGCCCGTAGTCGGGTGCGATGACCGTCAGGGGGCTGGGTGGCCTATACTCGTGATGGGCTCAGCCCCGACGGGTCACGCAGAGTGCCGCCCAAACCAATGTCTCCCCCTAATGCCCATCATGCTTCTGACTCTAAAATGGTCTTGTTAACCGAAAGAGCGTAGGCAATACAACAAAACAAGCAAACAATGAAAGGTGGCCAGAGAAGCTAAAGGGGTCGAGAAGACTACACAGTACACACCATGTAGCGCTAGAAGCACTTGCTTTGAAGTGCGCTGAAAAACATAGGAAACCAGATAACTTTAAGTGAACTTTTAGAATTTATCCAATATGTAGGTGAACTTAAAAGTTCAAATGCTTATAAGTTTACTAAAATGCATCATGTCGCGTATCTTTCGACGCAGCGTATCAAAACGAACACAGGGACATTATTTTGAAGCTCTAGCTTCACTGTGTGCCAGCTTAGGTAGGTATAAGCAAAGACGAGTTTTACCGCTATGACCTCAGTTGACCCAACCCTAGCGTTCTTGCAGCAGGCAAACACATACCTAGTCATTTATTGATATCAACTAAGATAATAAAAACAAAAACGTTGAAATGCAGCGGATATCATGTCACTAATATTTCCGCAATTAGAGTCATTCATTAATTTTTCCTTAAAACCCTCGTCTTGCCGGACCTATTGGTTTTCTACATTTGCGCAGGCCGAAGGGAAAGGGGTGGAGTGGTACGACCCCCCCCCCCATCGCCGTGTCGCCCCTGATCGAGCTAAGGCGTGGTGAAAAAAAAAACAGCGTGTGCGCCGTTACGAGACGCAGCGACTGGTAACCGATTTTAAGGTCTCAGATCAACCGGTGACCTCTGAGGTCAGGTCAAGTGGCTCAAGGCACGAGTTTTTGATAGAATAACTCCGCCAAAAACGGTCACAGCGCCGCGATTTTGGTATCACCGTGTTCGCCGAATGGTATACTTTTGGCTCGGGTAAGGTCAACTTGAGTTGTTGACCTCGGGCCAAGGACAGGTCAGAGCCCCCAGGTCACGAAAATGGTCGAAGGAGGTCACATTGCACACAATTCGATTCAGCAGGTCTTCCTGAGTCCAATGGTAGCTTTCCCGACTCGCTAGCTCAATTTGATCGGGAGTTATTGACAAAAAACTCTTATGACCCTAGTGACGTCATTAATGACGTCACGCAAATTCAACAATGCAAATGTGAAACATTGGACCTTGCAAGGAGTGCATGAATTCACGATATCTTGTGCTTGAGATAGTTTGAGATCGTTCCCGGTGTCAAAATAGCAGTTTTCATTTTCCTCATTGACTTATAATGGTGAGGTCACCAGACCGACCTGACCTCAAGTGACTTTTAGGGAAAATCCGAGATATACCTACAACTTGTGGCACCTCTGGAGGATAGGTACTACGTCTGTTTGTTTCATCTCCCTGTGAAATCTTCCTCTGACACTGAGGGCGTTGCGAAGTTGCGACATCTGATGACCGTGCAGAGGTTCACTTATGACGTCATAGGTCAGTGACCTGACCTGACCCAAAAATGCGGTTGGTGTCAAAAGATCCGGCTTGGATCAAAGGTCAGGTGTACCAAGTTTCAGCTCTCTATCGCCAGCGTGTTCGGAGCTATCGCGAAAAACCCTATGGTGGGCGGCACCCGCCCCCCCCCCCCCTTCGGCCGGCGAGGGATATCTCCAGAGCCGCTGCGCCGATCGTCACCAAACTTGCAGTACCCTCCCGTGAGTAGCTTTTACACATTGTGACGAACACATTTTCCAAGGGCTTCGATAGGTTGGCCGCTAATAACGTCGGAGTGACGACATTTCGACCATTTTCGACCCAAAAAAGGTTTCGAGGGAAGAGCTGTCAGGCCTACAGCTTTAGAGAAAAGAAAAATATTTCACAGATAAAAGGTGTAAAATTAACAGGGCTATATAACATATAACATTATCGACTCAGATATTTGAATATTACATTATCGACTCAGATATTTGAATTTTATAGATTTTGACCCCAAAAATCAACAACATTTTTTTATAATAGCCAAAAAATCCAAAGGTTTTTTGAAAAAAAAAAAGGAATAAAGGTGACAGTCCCTATCGCTTTCTATCCGCATACCAAATTTGAGATCGATACCTCGTTTTTCGCCAAGTTATAGCGGAAAATACTGTTCAAAATTGATGACGTCAAATTTTCAAACTCAATTTTTAGCAATTCTAGACCACGTGTTGCAAAACAAAGACCACCATTAGACTCCCCGTGACGAGCTGAAGTTTGACCTTTTTTGACCTGACCTTGACCTGGCCTCCACCAGAAAGTGATCTAAGCCTGCCTGATGGTCTTATAACCAACACCATTATGTTGGAAATGAAAAATTGGCCATAAAGCATGCATCACACAGCCCAGTAAAATTGGGTTCATGTGCTGACCCTTGGTGACCTGACCTGTGACCTGACCTGGTATTATCAGTGATCTCTTATAGCAGCATATGTACTAGGTAACTGACACCCTATCGCTGATTTTCGATTAAATGCGTTTTACTCGATGTTATAGCGCATTCCCTAGAAGAACCGTGAACGGCAAAACATTTTATCTTTGACCTGACCTGTGACGTCATCGGTGACCCTAAGGTCAATGAAATTGAATTTCTCTCCACAAATTTGACAGCGCTATCGTACGCCGTTTGAATTTTACGGATCCGTCCAAGTTTCGGACTACGGGGGGGGGGGGAATGCCCCCTTCCCCCACCGCGCGGAAGGTGGCCGGGAGGCCCACCGCCTGCCGGGTTATTAAAGACATGTTAAAGCAATGAAACCACCTCGGATGTATTCAGGTCAACGTTACAAATCAACGAACATACAAATGACCCTTACGCAGGTCATGGCCCTGAAGTTAAATTTTGAAGTTAGCTTTAACCCTCGCCCTGGCAGGGGGGGGGGGGGTCGATGCGACCCCCCCCTAAGGTTTTTCGAAGATAGCGTAAAAACGGCGGCGCGCAGCGCCGCCAAATTTGGCACAGCCTATGGGGCAACCTTTTTACATATGACCTGAAAATTTCAGGTCCGGGTGACCTTGGGTCAGGTCACCAGGTCAGAAAAACCGGTACAAGGTCATGGTCAAATTTCAATTTTTTTTGCACCTGTCCAACTCACAGTTTTCGACTGATTTCCTTCAAACTTTCAGGATGTGCTAAGTTCACCGAGTTGTATAACATATAGTTCGGGTTTTTTGAGGTCACTGACCTGAGGTCAGTTAGAGGTCATTACGTCGTAATGTTAAGCCTATGGGAAAATACTAAACTCGGAAAATACTGGAGATATCCGCTTCGTTCTATCACTTTTGTGCTTTGAAACCACAGTACTTAACAGCAGGTCACTTGGTGCTTCTTTGTTTGGTGTACTTATCCATGGGTCAGGTCAAATGAGGTCAACTGAGGTCAAATAACGTTTTTGCCAATAACTTGGCACATAATGACGCTAGAGCTTAGAAAATGGTATCATTGTGTTCCTAGTGATCAGCCGAATCGAATGATATGCGATATGATGCAATTTGGTTAACTTGAACTTAATTTATTAATTTAAGTTTACTTAAAATTAATAAAAACTTTAAGTACGCTTAAGCAGGCTAAAAAGTATATCATTCGACGCGCCTTAACGTGCTGAGTTCACTGGTGCTTTTCTTTTTGCGCTATCTTAATTAGATCAAAAGTTATAAGCGAAAAACTTTTGACCTGTTTTTAGCGAAATTTTTACATTTATACCCCCCAAAACCCCCCTAAATATGACCTAGAGCAACCAAATTTGCACAGGGGCGAGAACTCCAGGGGGCCCACCTACCTACCAAACTTGGTGTTTCTAGGTGCCATAGGAGCCAATCGCGAGGGGGGGGTCGCATCGACCCCCCCCCCCTGCCAGGCCGTGTTATGAAAAATGCCCTGCCAGGGCGAGGGTTAAAGGTCAAATTGTGGTTAATTCGACGCATGTCAACCATCGAAACACTATTCAGGAAACCATTGCTGTGCACTATCTGTGTCATAAAATGTAAGGGATTTCAACAAAAGAAATTTTACATTTTGCTGTGGGTACCGATTTTCCTTCCGCACGGTTTGAAAATTCGTTATTATTTGTCTATCTTTGGCTAATAGCGGACAACTGAATGTCCTGATTCAATTTCACGCTTGTACGAGTATAACAGCGAGCGAGTGAAAGTGTCATATCAGATCGGGAATGTAAAACCTCTGTTCCGTCATGTATTTGCTCACAGATTCGTATCTGAAGGCGATGAAACAGTACAGCATGCGATACATGAAACGCGGCAATTTACATTAAAAGCGTTGAGCACACTTTACACATTTTTGCGCTTTGTTCAATGTTTTTGAGCCGGCGCTACCTGATAAATAGTTAAATAAATTAGATATCTTGTAACACAGGCGTCGTACAGATCTTAAATATGTATAAATAGCAATTATACTTTAATTACAACGCATTGCGATACAACAACAAAGCCTTTAACAGTATGTACAATTAAAAAAAATTAAACAAGTGAAGGTTGGAAAGAACAAAACTATTTAACGCACAACAATTGACAACAAAGCAGACCGAATATCTCAGCAATAACAAAGAAAATGATACAAATAAGGATAGAAGACAAACGCATATATTCATAAAGTAAAGAAGTATATAGGGTAGCTGTCTTTGGTCAGCTACAGAATAATGCCTTAACTTTAAACTGGCACAGAAGAGCTCTATAGAAACTAGTCATATCACTCCTCCTTAGCATGTGTTCCTGAACAGAAATGCCATCAAAATACTCTTTCATATAAACTAACTAAAACACCCAAAATACTTCATATGAGCATTCAGTTACACTAGCACAGGGTCCTTTAGCTCACAACCGTGAGAAAAAGACCAACTGATCCGTCATCGGCGTCTGAACCGTCGGCGGCTGCCGTCTATAAAATAACACCTCAGGAAAGGTAAAAGGCCCCGTCTTCCCACGTCACTGGCTGGGAGTGGATGACGCCAATCTTGGCGGTTCAGTGGAGCTCTGGACCCACTAACCGCCGCACCAATCACTGGTCATTGTCCTGGGCTGAGCTCAGCCCCATGTCCCGTGATACAAATTCAGTCACTCATTCTATGTGCAAACACACACATAGTCCTTCGAGCAGCATCTGCACTCGCTCCAGAATATTGCCAGTCATTCGCTGGAGGACTCACGTCGTAGTTTTATCAGTCCGCATGACGCAAACCGATCTCTCATTGATACTTGCACGTCACACGCTGTTCACGCTAACATTTCACATAACGTCCGAACAGCCACCGTGTATGCGGTGTTCACCTCAGGCTGTTGACGCTGATGATCTGGTTGATCCAGCCAATGAAAGAAGCCACCTTGACGTAGACGCCAGGAACGTTCTCCCTTCCACAGCCGAATCCTGCGCAGGAACAGACGGAAATGTTGGTCAGCGGATTAGAGACAAGGAGATTAACAGCAAACTATCTCACTAGCATGCCAACACGCTCGGCTAAGCATGTAGGTCAGGCGATCATTTGGGTTTTAGATGTCACGCTCGTAATGACGATAACGATGTTTGCATTTAGAGTTATTTCATGACACCACCGTCTTACATTCGTGCTAGTTGAGAACGCTTTTCAGGTATCAAAAGATTATTGGCGATACGAGTCCCATCAATATGAGTTTGTATCAGAGCAATTCAACTTTTATGTTTTTTGTTTGCTCATGTCTATCAGATATTCACATAAACAGAGCACAATTACATAACAAAAACAAAACTGTAACTGATGACCACAGACATGGCTGTAGCACTCTATTTCAGGGGATCTAAGCACTACTCTATAATCCGCAGCTGTTGAAGATCGAATTACAATCAACGAATTCAACTTACCCCAGCTGACGATTCCCGATAGTTCGTAATAGCCTTCCACGGAGCAAACGAGAGGTCCTCCGCCGTCACCCTGTGAACCAGAACATGTTCCAGGTGATCAGAAACTAAGCAGAACGATTATTGCAAATAAAACCAGAAAATGCCTCCTACTTCATCATGGCTAATTACGACTAACCAGTAACCGTGTCCACTCCTTAACCGGCGCTTGGTCGAGCGGTACTTGTGTGGTGAACAGAGCCAATCGCTGGTGAAATACCCCGTCTGGCTGTGTCCGGCCCGGCTCGCGGCAGTTCGGTCGGGTTCTTGCGACATGTCACAGACTCAAACGGTGCTGGTTGGGACATCACTGTACGACTGAGTCATAAATGGGGAGGTCGACCCTGAGATAACAGGTCAACGTGCGATGACTCATCCATGGCATACACGGATACGCCGGGTACTTACCTAACGATGCTAATTACGTACTTATGATTATTACGCAAATTCAAGTGATGATAGACACGTAATGAAGATCGAACCTGCCTTCAATATAACGAGAGCTACCAGCAAATACAATAAAAGTCGATGTTACGCTTAACCCGCGCACCGACGGGGTCTGCGCCAACTTAGTACACTCGAGGGCAGATTGATGTTCCACCACTCCCTACCCATCAGGCTTCCATGGCTCAGCACTGGCTGCTGCCAGTGGCAGCACTGGCAGCACTGGCACTGGCAGGCAGTGCTGAGCAGTGCTGAGGGCAGGCAACACTGGCAGCAGCCAGTGCTGAGCCATGGGATCGCCCGATGGGTAGGGATGGTGGAACATCAATCTGCCCCCGAGTGTACCGACGGGGGGGGGGGGCGGATGACCGCCCCCCCCCTGAGATCTCGAGAACGAAGCAAGATAGCGACAAGCGGTAAACGGCATCGGATACGCACGGACAAGGTCTACAATTTTTACTAAGGTCATTTTCAGGTCAGGTCAAAGATGACGTCACAGGGGTCGAAAAAGTCAAAATGGCGGCGCTAGATATGGAGAGGGGTTTTCTCGAATAACTTTCGAAGTAGTCAAGATAGGAACAAACTAAGGGCATCATCGTGATCCTCTCGTCAATCCATCGAATGATATATATGTTGACCTCGAAAGGTCAAGGTCAAAGGTTGACCTCAGGTCACGTGACCTCGAGGTCATCATGTATATCATTCGATGCGTCTTGACGAGCTGAACACAATGAGACCATCCGCGCGGCTGTATCTTGTTCCTGTAAGGAGTTATTGGCAAAAAACCTTTGGTGACCTTTGATGACGTCACATGACCTTACAGCTGCCCAACAGCAAAACAGACCTCAAGGTAGTGAAGGTTGATCGTATGTGAAGTCATGTATGGTATATGGGGCCATTCCGACCCGTTTTAGTGGTAAAAAGGGAGTTGATTTTTCCCCCATTGACTTATAATGGGGAGGTCGCGAAATTGACCTGACCTTAGGTCACCGACATCAAAATTCTGAGATATACAAATTGTAGCTACTAATGACCTAATAACATCCTGCGACTTTCAAAGGCCTCCGACATCTACTGTAGCTCTGGCACGGTGACAAAGTTGCAAAAAATGACTTGAGGTTGGGTCATTCAAAGTGACCTGGTGACCTGACCTTAACCCGCGCACCGACGGGGGTCTGCGCCAACTTCGCACCGACGGGGGGGGGCGGATGACCGCCCCCCCCGAGATCTCGAGAACGAAGCAAGATAGCGACAAGCGGTAAACGGCATCGGATACGCACGGCCAAGATCTACAATTTTTACTAAGGTTATTTTCAGGTCAGGTCAAAGATGACGTCACAGGGGTCGAAAAAGTCAAAATGGCGGCGCTAGATATGGAGAGAGTTTTTCTCGAATAACTTTCGAATTAGTCAAGATAGGAACAAACTAAGGGCATCATCGTGATCCTCTCGTCAATCCGCATCGAATGATATATATGTTGACCTCGAAAGGTCAAGGTCAAAGGTTGACCTCAGGTCACGTGACCTCGAGGTCATCATGTATATCATTCGATGCGTCTTGACGAGCTGAACACAATGAGACCATCCCCGCGGCTGTATCTTGTTCCTGTACGGAGTTATTGGCAAAAAACCGCTGGTGACCTTTGATGACGTCACATGACCTTACAGCTGCCCAACAGCAAAACAGACCTCAAGGTAGTGAAGGTTGATCGTATATGAAGTCATGTATGGTATATGGGGCCATTCCGACCCGTTTTAGTGGTAAAAACAGGGAGTTGATTTTTCCCCCATTGACTTATAACGGGGAGGTCGCGAAATTGACCTGACCTTAGGTCACCGATATCAAAATTCCGAGATATACAAATTGTAGCTACTAATGACCTAATAATATCCTGTGACTTTCAAAGGCCTCCGACATCTACTGTAGCTCTGGCACGGTGACAAAGTTGCAAAAAAGTGACTTGAGGTTGGGTCATTCAAAGTGACCTGGTGACCTGACCTTAAAAGGTAGGAGGTTAAAACTTGCACACCATGTGTAAAATTGATGAGGTTATAGTCATACCAAATTTCGCGGCGCTACGCGCCGCGGTTTTCCCGCTATTCGCGAAAAACCTCAGGGGGGGCGGATATCCGCCCCCCCCGTCGGTGCGCGGGTTAAAAGTTAGGAGGTTCAAACTTGCACACCATGTGTAAAATTGATGAGAGAATAGTCATACCAAATTTCGCGGCGCTACGCGCCGCGGTTTTCCCGCTATCCGCGAAAAACCTCAGGGGGGGGGGATATCCCCCCCCCCGTCGGTGCGCGGGTTAATATTTTTTTTTTACCATGTTTTTGGTTCTCACTAAAAAACCTTTCTCGTGACACAGTTGCACGTGTCTTCCACTGATGCACGGTCTTACGACGGGGTATTTTTACGTTATTGCACACTGACATGTGACCTCCGACTGATCTGGCAGGCGTCGTGGCCCAGTTCGCCGTCGATGGATGCATTTACACTTTTTTCAAAGATCTGTCCCTTGCGACTGACCTGACAGGCGTCGTGGCCGAGCTCCCCGCCGGCGGGTTGCATTTACAGTATTTCAGGGACCCTGTGCCCTGTGACTGACCTGGCAGGCGTCGTGGCCGAGCTCGCCGCCGGCGCAGAAGCTGGACGACGGCAGCACGAACACCTTCTCGGTGACCGAGTTGATGCGGCTGATGCAGTCGTCGTCAGCGACAATGGGCAGCTCGGCGGCGCGCACACGCAGCGGGATCGTACCCTCTGCCGGCGGCGGGGGGGGGGGGGAAGTGGTGTGAGACGAGGAACAAATAAACAAATAAAATGAAAGACAGCTAAGATGAAGGGCTGCATGACCGATGGAATGGGCGAAGAAACCAACAAGAGTACGGAAAATATGTGAATGAATGAATGAATGAATGAATGAAAGAATGAATGCATGAATGAATAAATGAATGAATAAATGAATGCATGAATGAATAAATGAATGAATAAATGAATGCATGAATGAATAAATGAATGCATGAATGAATAAATAAATGAATGAATAAATAAATGAATAAATAAATGAATGAATAAATAAATGATGAATGAATGAATGATGAATGAATGAATAAATGGATTAATTATAAAAAATTAATGCATTGATTAATGTAATTAATGCATGAATTGTTTAAAAACATTTGAACGAAAACTAAACGAACGAAACAACGAACGAACGAACGAGCGAATGAACGAAAGAATGAATGAACGAATAAATGAAAGAATGAGGAGTGAAGGACGGAAGGAATGAATATTTTCAATTCACTGACAGCTGATGGTAGTGGTAAAAGTTGCAGTTGATATCCTTGCATAACTGAATTTTAATCTCCGGAGCATGGCTATTGCGGTCTTCTTACCTGGTCCCTACATGGGCCCACTCCCATGTAGCCGCGGTACGTACCTTCTCCCATGTAGCCGTATCCGGAGACGGTGCAGCGTCTGCCCGCCTGCTGTTCCACGCCTCGGACGGGCAGGCACACCAGACAGACACCTTCCGTCAGCTCCACCTGAAAAAACAGAATCCCTCAGTCAATTCCACACCTCAGACGGGCGGACAGACCAGACAACCCTCTCTGTCAGCCCAACTTGTGACGGACATGGGCGGAGCTCACACATTGCCCAGTGAACGGAAGAACAAAATGACCGGCTACCCGTCCTACGAACGGGGCCCATATTTTACTTTTCATGTGCGTACATTCCAGGAAAGGGTAGCTGGCACGTAGTGAAGGCATGCCGTGTGAAGGCATGTGAAGGTATGCCGTTTCAATGGCCATCTATTCTATGACTGTAAGTATTGAGTCACCAGGTCGGCTCCACCCGCTATATTCTGGTGTTCCGACACCCAGTGGCTCACCTCTCCGTAGAGCTTCAGCAGGGCGATGTCGTTGTCGAGTGTCTGCGTGTTGTGGTTGTGATGGATATAGGTGGTGGACACGCGCAGAGTCTGCGCTCCCGGAGAGCCCTGCTTCGAGGTCAGGTCGTGGTCGCCCACATCGCACGTAGATGGCGTCTCCGGAGCGGACGATGCTGAAAGCAGAGAGAATGGCAGGAAGGTCAAACATTCTCGCTCAGTAATACGTACCTAAAAGCACATACTGATATTCAAAGCACAACACTTGGCAGCCCCGAGAGCTACTGCTATATGATTTCCAAATCCTTTTGAACGGTAGATCAATAAGATTACCTATTCACTCTCATCCATCACGCTTGTCTCATGCCGCATCATTTAAAGGCAATGTCTGTTTTTGGGATCTACGATAACCGCGTCTGCAATCCGTACTAACTTTGTGATGCATTTAGCAGCCACCGGGTGTGTGCACGCACACTGTGCAGGCTGACGACCGCACTCACTTTGTAATGCAGTGCGCGGCTGTGAGCACCCACTGGGTACCAATCAGGGCTCCGCCGCACAGGTACTGGTTGAGAGAGTTGACCAGGGCTGCGTGCCAGCACCACTCGCCCGGCGCTGCGTCGCTGCCGCCCACCACGCGGGCCTGGCGGGTCAGCGCCGGTCCCTTCACACCACACACGTACTTGTTGCGGGACGGACGCGACGGTGGCGCCACCGCGGTCGGAGCGGCCGCAGAGGGCGCCACAGGGGCCGGCGGAGCAGCCGTGGTCTCTGAGCAGATAAGGGAGGAGAGGGAGCTGTCAGATGGGTCAGGGAGGAGTTACAGACATCGAATAGAAGATAAATGATGAGAAACTGAAAGTGCTGTCAAACCAAGAGGACGATCACGATCATCAGTCATTTAACCCTCGCATGTGTGCGGCGTTTGCCAGCTTCTAATGTGTAGGGGGGGGGGGGTCGGTTGGACCCCCCCCCCCTTGCCGTTTGGCCCCTGATCGAGCTAGAGCTTCGCGGAAAAAACGAGCGTGTTGCCCGTGACGAGAGGAAGCCGATGATACCCAATTTTAAGGTCCTAGGTCATTGGTTGACCTTCCAGGTCAGGTCAATGACCCAAAGTCGGGAAAATGGGGACCTTTGGTAAATTCCTTTTTAATGACCTCCTTACAAATTATTTATGTTTTTGATGTATTTAGCTTGATACAAATTTTCGGCCACGGGCCTTGATCACATATCAGTTTAAACACAGACACGAAAGACTTTCGTGTCTGTGTTTAAACTGATATGTGATCAAGGCCCGTGGCCGAAAATTTGTATCAAGCTAAATACATCAAAAACATAAATAATTTGTAAGGAGGTCATTAAAAAGGAATTTACCAATCACCTACATGCCTTACATACAAAGAGCACTACAAGAATTAAAATGGGGACCTGTTAGAAAGTCGTAAAGTGTGGCTGCTAAGGGGTTTTTCGGGGTGCTGATCACGAATATCGTGTTAGTTTTGATCACAGATGATGTCTTGAAGCATTTAGACCAGGTCGGGTCAGGTCAGGTCAGGTCAACCAGTAGGCGTCGTGACGGGTATTCGTAGTACGTGTCAACCGCCTCTGACAGCTTCGTAACATGTTACGAAGTCACCAAAACTACTTCGTAAATGTTCAAATGGTTGCTAAATTCGAATTCAGCTCCAAAAACTAGCCTAGAAACATGTAAAACTCGAAAAAGTGACCCGAGGTCACCCGAGGTCACCAAAGGTCAATGACCTGACCTGACCTTCAGGTGACCTTGACACACACGGGAGTAACATCAAATCACATGTTTGAACGTTTGAAACCACGAAAAGCTTGCAAACACGCGGCTAGTGCGAGCCGACATACGCGAAATCGCGATTCCGGCCAAACATGGTCTCGGAAAAGAGGTCACAGGTCAAAGGTCATTTGGGTCAGGGTCATGAAATTTTCAGGGTAGGTGTAAAATTGATCAATGCGAGGGTACTGAAAGTTTCGTCACGATCGGCCGCTTTTTACGCGAGATATTCGCGAAAAACCATGGGGGGGTCCATCCGACCCCCCCCCCCCCCTACACATGCGAGGGTTAAAGACCTAAAAGGACCTCCTTAGGCACTCGTCAAACGATGAAGCTTTGTCTGCGACACACGAAGTGAAGTTTCATTCAGTAGGCTCTTTGAAATGGTGAGCAATGAAAATCCGTCTGGTCATCGTTCGCTCACCTGGCTGGTAAGCCACCGCCGGCTGTCTGTATTTGACGCCGCCCGACGCCGGGCCCGGCTGCTGGTAGCTGTCTCCGCCGCCAGGTGGCAGGCCGGTGGCCGGCTGGGACCCGGAGGTCGCCGCGGGGTTGTACCGGTCACCGCCAGGGGTCGGGCTGGTCGGCCGGTACGGAGACGAGGGCGGGTCGCCGGCCGGTCCGTACGGGAAGTCCGGCGAGACGGTGCTGTCTGGTCCGTACCCCTCAGCCGAGAGAGAGGAGGCGGCCACGCCCTGGTCCGGGTACCCGGCCTCGCCAGGGTACCCCGACTGAGCTGGGTACGAGGCCTGGTCAGGGTACGCTGACTGCTCGGAGTATCCGGTCTGCTCAGAGTACCCAGTGGTCTCCTGGTATCCGTTGGCTCCCTGATAGCCTGCCTGCCCGGTGTATCCGTTTTGCTCAGCGTACTCGGTCTGAGCTGGGTACCCGGTTTGGTCAGTATATCCGGACTGACCCGAATAGCCCGCTTGCTCCTGGTATCCAGTCTGGACTCCCGTCCCCTGGTTGTAGTCGACCTTCTCCTGGTACCCCTGCTGCGTGGGGTACTGCTCCTGGCCCGGGTACCCCTGCTGCCCGTTGTACCCTGGTTGGTTCAGGTACCCCTGCTGGCTGGCGTACCCTGTCTGATCGGTGTACCCTGGCTGCTCCGGGTACCCCTGCTGGTACTCGGGGCGGTACCCGGCTGTACCGGTCGGCTCGGGGTACTGCTGGTACCCGGGCTCGCCGGTCTGGTAGCCCTGGTACGGTGGGTACGCTCCGGCCGCCGAGGGCCGCGGTCGGTTCAGCAGGTCCCAGTGCCGGCGGATGGACGACTTTTTGGCGCAGCAGCGCTCAGAGGTGGTGACGCACTGGAAAATGTCCGTCATCTCCGCTCCGCCTGAGGAGAGGGAGAGAGGGCCGGAGTCAGCTGAGGGACAGGTGGAAAGGCTGCCGTAACTATCGTCTATCGATAAAATATCATTTTCGACACTAAGAGTCGTCTGAGACAGTACAGAATACACACCGCAGTCGATGGCTACCGGATATTTCAACTAGTTTCTGTCATCAATTCGCACATGTAAAATTCACTCAAACACTTTTGAAAGCGATTGGTACAACAGATCGTCAACGTCTGTTCCACAATTTGCCATGAACCTAACTCCCCTCTTTCACTGACAACCATCCCCAGCGCTCACTATGTAGTGCAGACTGCAGACGTTACATTGCAATGAGCAGTCTGTGGGACTTACCGAAGCAGGTGAATGAGAGCAGCGGCGAGATGCAGGTATCCGGGCAGGGCAGTCGCGGGTCCTCCGGCTCCGGTGCCGCGGTGGTGGTGGGCCGCGGGCGGATCGGAGGCGGGGGCCGCCGGACCGGGCCCGACGGGCGGTACGGGGGCGGCGCCGGCCGGCTGGGCCGCTGCGCAGGACTGCCGCCCAGCAGGGCAGGCAGCACCGCCTGCATCAGACCACCACCGCTGCCGCCGCCGCCGCCTCCGCTCAGAAGAGAGGCCGCCAGCGGCACCAGAGCACTAGCCGAGCCTCCGCCGCCGCCGCCGCCGCCCCCACCGCCGAGGAGGGACGCGGCCAGCGGCGCCAGCGATCCGAGCAGACCCCCGCCGCTACCCCCTCCCCCTCCGCCGCCTCCGGAGGAGAGTGCCTGTCCGAGCAGGGTGCTGAGGGAGGACGACGGCGCTCCGCCGCCGCCGCCGCCGCCGCCGCCGCCGCCGCCCACCTCCGGCTTCTTGGCCAGCTGGCTGTCGGCCGCGCCGCAGCAGAAGTGCGCCTTGGGGCAGACTGGCAGCTGCGGCAGGGGCAGAGCGGGCGGGCGGCACAGCGAGAGCAGCTCCGAGGGCAGACAGGTGCCCGGGCAGTCACCCTGTCCCTCAGAGGGAGCCGGCGGAGCGGTGGAAGCCGGAGAGGTCGGAGTCGGGACGGAGGGAGACGCTTCAGACTGCTGTGTCGGCTCATCAGGCGGTCCCTGGGACTCCTCCGCTGCCTCCTGTGCTGTTGGTGGCAAGTTGAACCCGGGGGCGGAAACGCCATTCGCAGGCACTTCCTCTGACTGGCTCTCAGCTCCGCCAGCGAATGGTGAATTCACGGATTCATTTTGAAGCTCGTTCGGATAAGCATTACCCTCATCTTTCACATCCTCCACTTGTTCCGGCGCTGGTCTCAAATTGTCTCCTTGTGGTCTCGAGAGCTGTCCACCCTGGGGCCTGCCGAACACACTGGACGAGCCTGAGTAGGACACTTTGCGGTTCGGAAGCACCGCTGGCGTTTGGCTGGGCTCGGAGTTTGTCGGGTTCGGTGGCAGACCAGCATCAGGTCCGTACTCTCCGCCACTGCCTGGTCGGTAGCTCTGTTCGTAGTCAGGCCTGTACTCCGAGCTCTCTGAGCCATCCGCTGGGCTGAGCTCTTCATTATTTCCAGGGTAGTATTCCGGACGATATTCTGTTTCATAATCTGGACTACTGTCCGGCTGATAGTCTGGGCGATATCCCTGACCGAAGCCAGGCCTGTTTTCTGGGCTGTACTCTGGGCGATAACCTTGGCTATATTCCTGTTCATACTGTTCGCCTCCCTGATTAATCAGCCCGCCCGGTCCCGAAGGCCGCTCGGCCTCCTCCGTGGGCTGATCAGTGGCCGCGGGGGGCAGAGCAGAAGGCCCAGGGGTCGACTGTCCGGAGAGCTCAGGTGACGGCAGGGTCGGCCGGGCGGCGGGCGGGGCCGGTGCCGGCGGCTCCGTCACCGGCACTGCTGGTCTGACGGGCTCAGTAACTGGTGTAGCCGGCTCGGTAGCTGACGCAGTAGTGGCGCCAGCCGGCCTGTCTGGCTCGCCGGTCGAGCCCGCGGGCCGGACCGGTCGAGGTGTTGTCGGCTCCGGCTCCGGCCGCCTCTGGGGTCGGTTTCGCAGACAGCAGCGGCCGCCGTTGCTGCAGCGAACCCTGCGGTCGATCCTCTCGCAGAAGAACGAGAACAGACCAGTGATGCACTCGCCGTCACAGACGTTTTTGTCGGTCGTGGAGACTGTGGGCCGATCTGAAACATACATACGAGACATCTAACTTGGCACCAGGAACTAGAATCCGTAACAATTGTGACGATCGGGAAACTCATATGAAAACAAACTGGACTGTTACTTCAGCAACCGCACTTAATTCGCCTAAACTTTGCTTAGAATTAAATAAGTTTTACCGTGCCAGTAGAGCTTTTAAATAAAACGGCGCCTGCCAGTGCAAAATTTACTGACCTTTTCCATTCCATTGTTATGGTATTTTTAATCACTATTAATGCATTTTTACGAGCGATAGACACTTAGCGACAAGTGATATTCATCATCAGGCAGCACTTGACTACTTCTTTTTATAGCATTAATCACTATCTCTGTCCCATTCCATGCTCAATGCATACAGTCGTTCTAGCAGAGACTAATTAGCACTCACCAGAGAGGCGGCCGGGGTTCGCAGGACGCGCAGACGGAGACGGAGACGGAGACGGAGACGGAGACGGAGACGGAGACGGCGGCTGGGTAGCCTCTGGTCTCTTCTCCGGCTGTGTCTCCTGCGGTTTCTGCTCGGAGTCAGACACCCGTTCGGCCGGCGGGGATGGGCTAACGGGCCTGACCGGTTCCGTCTTCGGTCGAGAATTATCCGGAGTTGTTTTCCGCTGCTCTTCTGCCTTATCAGCTAGCGTTTCTGGTTGCGGTGCTGACTGGTCGGTCTTCTGCTGCTCACGCGGTGGTTTGGTGGGCTGTTCCGCCTGTTCGGGCTGGGGGCTGGGTGTTGTCTTCTTGTCCAGCAGTACAAACTCGGGTGGCGGGGCGGGCTCGGAGTCGAACAGGTCAGCGGGCACGCAGCAGCGCTGGTCCTCGGCACAGGCGCCAGGGATGTCGAGCGCCGCCTCGCAGTGGTGTGCGATACGAAACGCCACGCACACGCCCGGACAGGCGACTGGAAAGGGAGGGAAGAAGAGGAGGGATGTCGGTCAGCGATGTCGTGCGACAAAATTAGTTTATGTTTGGTCTCTTATGAAGAGGATTATAAGAGCTTATCAAAAATTTCCATGATTTTTTATTTATTGATAATAAGCACGTCACAAATACATCAGCAAAACATTTAATTTTCGAAAAAGTATGATTTATACTTACTTCGTTTAGCCTGAGCTATTATACGCGGTGGCGCTTTCCGAAGCAGTGGAAGCTGAACCGTGTCCAATTTCTCAGCGGCTTCAGGCGCCGCTGTGCTGGGCGGACTGGTAGTCGTACTCGGAGCTGCAGTCGTGGTCTGAAATATCGTGCTTCATTAGTGTTGCCGTATGCGGAGAAACTTGACAACAGTGATAATGGAGCACTGCCAATTCACATGCATCGCTATTTCTTTTAATTTCGAGAAAACGAAAAAAAGTAATACCTGATACCTATAAATAAACTAATTACGTATACTTTAACTAATAAGAATGGAAAGTGCAAATTACATCCACTGCCCCCCCCCCCCCCCTGCCGGCCCCGTCTCTATGGCGGCAAGACTCTTCGTCTTCGCTCACCGGCGCTGGCCGTGTGGTGGGTGCTACTGTCGTGGTCGTCGTATGCAGTCTCTGAGGCCCTGGCGGCGGCGGGATGCCCGGTCTCAGCGGTCCGGGGCCGGCGCAGCAGCGCATCGCCGGCCGGGGGCAGGAGTGACCCTCGAGCACCCGGTCACACATGAGAGCCGCCAGCGCGTGGTAACAGCGGCCCGGGCAGTCGCCCCCGGCCGAGGAGCGGGTCAGCGAGTTGAACAGGTCTGGGGACGAGAGGGATACATCAGAACACGGCAGGACACGCCAGAGCACTGACAGACACATCAGAACACAGAAACATCATATTACAGCCGGAAACATAAGGAGACCACATCAGAACACAGACGGACACATCAGAAACACACACAGATTTTTTGCTCAGCTCACAGCTCAAGCTTGGAATGGAAAGCTCAGCTCACAGACGGATAGTTGCATAAGCTAAATGAAGCTGATCAGCGAGCTGATGATAATTAATATCACATTCCATAGGCTTCGTACCATATTTTCGATTGTCCAGAATTTCGATTCGGTCCGAGGCAGTTCCCGTTGCATTTTCTCAGCATCGTTTCGTAAATCCCATCGGTCCGATTCGGGAGCGGAACGCCTGACACCTGAGAGCTCGACAGCTGTCGGACATTTTTTTTCTTCCCTCGTCCCAGTGACCAACTAAAGCACCATGGAGCTGAAAGAAATGCCTTGACCCATCTATTTCGGCTGCCTTGCCAAGGCCGCTCCCGAGTCGGGAGGCCAATGACCCGCGCCGGAGCCGCCGCTCCCGGCTGATGACGTCACAATCAGCTGACGGACCCTCCAGACACGGGAGGTGCGCTCGGCGGCTGTTGTCCTAATTCCGCGGACCATGGGGACCGGTGGCATACCGATGGTCCTCCGTCTCCGGCGCATAGCTGACATTCCTCGCTGACTGCGTCCGGCCCGTGGCCGCTGGTGAGTAAAAAACAGCCGTGCGCCGTGCGGCGAACCAGCGGACGGAAGGGGCAAAAATACCGCCGAGATGGTAGGACGAGTCGGTGGCTCTCTCGCAACAATACCTACCATATGAGAATAACAGGGCCTTGATCCAAATGCAGTTCCTGTATTTCATCATAATAAACATATGTAAGTTCACGAAGTGTCGCCAGAGTGCGAGTACAGAATCACGCCTTTAATCAGTGTCCGGTGAGTGTTCAACTATTTTGCAATGGAAATTTGCACATTTTTAGCTCTCACACAATAACTGAAATTGCGAGATGCGAGCATGAGCCGGCAACCGGACGTCCGGCTGCCGCAATGACCCATCCCCAGCAGTAGTGTTGTAACCTCTCCCCAGCCACGGAAGGAAAAGTGGGGCTCACCCCACCATGGCCGGTGCAGTTTCGTCACCGGCCACGGAACTTGTGTTGGTGGTCGAGGATGGGTCACCAGAGACGGATGTTACGCCGTCCGTCGGCAGCCAGTTCTATGATGCATCACCGCAGGATCCCGAGTGACCCAGTCTCTGCCCCACCGCCTGACTCACTGACTCACTGACTCATTGACTCAGTGACTCCGTGACTCAGGATCTCACACTGCCCGCGTGTGACCCCGCCTGCTGTGTGACCCCGCCGAGGTCAGAGGTCACGTCCGCCGTCACTGGGTCACCATATGGTGTGGTCAGAGGCGGCGCCGGCCGGCTGGCGTCTCCTCTCAGCGCGGCGCCCACCGAGCCCAGTTGCCTGATTGGCTAACGCGCGCCGAGGAATGCGGAATGCACCGTATGTACGAGGCGCGTGGCCCGTGGGCCGGAGGTAGGAGGCTGCACCGGGCCGCTGCCACGGGACCGCCGGAGGCCTGGTAAGACCTAAAGCTTTACTCGGTGCTCAATTTCAGACAAGCCTTATGCACGAAAATTGTCAAGGCTCCATTTATATATGAATAAACCGAAATAAAATTTTAAAAAAATACAAGAAAGAACCGATAAAAACACAAATTAATTACAAAATTAGGGTTTTGTAGAGAGTCCAGAATCAACTGCTTCTCGCGATCCGGTCGTTCAACTCTCATTGGCAGCTAGAGTATAGGAGCTCACGGCACACGGGCTTCATGGGTGCTTCTTAAGAGTCTCGCGGCTCTCGGTGTGGTGAATACACCTGCGGTGCGCGTGGGTTTTCCTCGGCTTATTACGGGTTACACGGGTTTGCGTGCCGGCACGTCCCGCGGCGCCGCTCCACTTCTCACGCGACTCCGCGGGGCGCCGTGACGTGACGGCGTAACGTGACGTGACGTGACGGCGCTGGGTGTGGGACCGCCGGACGGATCGGGTGACGGGCGGCCGGCGCTGTGTTTAGGGTCCGGGCCCAGCTCATACATATAGAAAAGCCAGCCGGCAAGTGTCCCTTTGCCAAAGTGCCACTTATCAAAGTGACACTTGTGGGAACGCTGGTGTGGGTGTGTAAGGGTGGCTATATGAACCCATATGTAGGGTCGTCCTTTCCGATAAGTGTCACTTAGCAGCAAAGGGGCTCTATATGAACTGGGCCCCGGCATGGACGGGTTGTTGGCACCCTTTGGCAGTCTGGTGGGGGAAGGGAGACGGGCTCCGACTGACTGTTACTGGAGAGAGCAGCAGCCGTCTGTCCAGTGCACGAACCAACGCGGAAGGCAGCTTTTTGCTCACGTGCGAGCCGGGACGATAAATGACCACCCACGGACCGTATAAGCGTCACGACTAGACTAGCGACAGCCGTCTGGGAATGTGCGGACAATCGCTATTTGATAACTTCTGCCATCATATAGAGTCAAGGACCATAATTCTTTTTAAACAAACCGGGGTTGTGCAGCAACCTCCTACCGCTGTGTATTCTGAGCTTTAGGACCGGCCGACTGGTGATCGTCTTCCAGACTTCCACTGAACAGACGGCAGCCCACCACCGCTGTGTTTGGACTGATCCTGCCGATGACCGTGTGTCGGTATAGCTACGGCAGCGCGGTGACAATATTCCTCTGTACAGGACCGGGACAACAGCAGCTCACTGCCACTGTGTTCCAGCGGAGACCGTGTGTCGGTGGCCGCGGCCGCGCCGGCTGCGCGCTGCGGTCGCACGACAGCTGGCCCCCACCGTTACCGACGCCGGCAGACGCGTTCGTTAGCATATTGTTGTCGGCGAGTGTGCGGGCACGTGACTTCGTCCCTGTGACGGATGTTTCCGGTGGCATTCGATTCAGAAAACCGCGACAGGAACGCGGCACGGAGACGGGCTGCTGCTAACGGTTCGTGGGCTAGTGTGCTGGTCCGCGTTGAAGTTATTTCCTTTCATATGCGCCGTTGAAGTCTCCAGCACCGACGAGTAGCGCTGCTTATGTAACGATTCTATATTTTACGAAACTCCGACTTATTTTTTTCTTCTTGAAGCTTCCCTATACAGCCATAAGCCAAAGACTAGATACATTTTCGGAATCAAGGAGTGCAACTATCACAAGCTAGTTCAGGGTCAATGTTGCGGAATCGCTTTTGCCGTCCTTTATTGATTTTTAATATGTACAATGCACACTTTCCCAGAATGAAAGACATACGAATGTGCACTTAATTAGCTCTGTTTCATAAATTACCAAATCCATAAGAGTTTTAGGCCAGAAGTGTTTCTTTGACTATTGCATAGTGAATTGGCTAGTAAGCTTTTTAAGATGGTCATACGGGTCACACTTTCACCCCTTATTCATCTAAAAATGGACCCTGCCTCCGCCCCTGGACTCACCTCCGATGAGTCCTGCTGTGCTGGGCGGCGGTCGGGGCGGCGCCCCCACTGCGCCGTCCCTCCTGGGCACGTCTCCGGCAGACACTTCACCCAGTTTCGCCGGGTCGTTGGTGCTCACAGCCGAGACTGACAGGCTCAATGTCAGACAGAGGCAGAGGGCCAGCTGGTGACAGGGCGCCATCCTGTGACCTGACCTGGGAGCGCCCGGGGCGCTGCCGGTCACACCAGGTCGGCAGGTCAGAATGTGGACCTGCTCTTCCCAGACTTCTGGTGTGTTTCTATTGCAAACAACTACAAATTCATTCTTTCCGTGTAGAGTGAGAAACAAATTTAAGGTTCTTCAGCTCGTTATTAATTGAAAGTTTCTGCTATACGCTTTGCTGATATAAAGCCTGAAAAGAAAATAAACTCATCAACAAAAGATCGTCTCATGAAGAGATAATTCAAATCACATATTAATATCTTCCTGCAGTTTTATCCCCCTGCTAGAATATGTCTCATTTTGTACCGATAATGCTTAAAGCGATAGTGTTCAATATGCCCAAAATATACAGCCACAAAATACCTCGCTGACAAGAAACGATAAGTTGAAACCATACCATTTATTGAACTGTAACAATGGCTAGAGTTACAAAAAAAAGAGTTACGCACACGCATAGTATTACTGGAGTGCAGTTTTTGTTGCTCATCTCCCAGGAACATTGACTTAGGACAATGTCAGGGCACTTATCGTTAACTATTGATTATGCGAAGACCGCAGTAATGAAAATGTTTTTTTTTTGCAAATAATAAAAGCGTTGGAGGTTTTGCATAAATATATAGGCTCACTTTAGTAGGTAAATGTAGATAGCTTCTATCATTCCGTTATGGTTTTCAGAGCTCAGTTGTAGGGTAAGTGCATAGGTTAACCCTCGCATGTGTAGGGGGGGGGTCGGATGGACCCCCCCCATGGTTTTTCGCGAATAACTCGCGTAAAAAGCGGCCGATCGCGACGAAACTTTCAGTACCCTCGCATTGATCAATTTTACACCTACCCTGAAAATTTCATGACCCTGACCCCAATGACCTTTGACCTGTGACCTCTTTTCCGAGACCATGTTTGGCCGGAATCGCGATTCCGCGTATGTCGGCTGGCATTAGCCGCGCGTTTGCAAGCTTTTCGTGGTTTCAAACGTTCAAACATGTGATTTGATGTTGCTCCCATGCATTAGGGTGGGTGTCAAGGTCACCTGAAGGTCAGGTCAGGTCATTGACCTTTGGTGACCTCGGTTCACTTTTTCGAGTTTTACATGTTTCTAGGCTAGTTTTTGGAGCTGAATTCGAATTTAGCAACCATTTGAACATTTACGAAGTAGTTTTGGTGACTTCGTAACATGTTACGAAGCTGTCAGAGGCGGTTGACACGTAATACTAATACCCGTCACGACGCCTACTGGTTGACCTGACCTGACCTGACCCGACCTGGTCTAAATGCTTAAAGACATCATCTATGATCAAAACTAACACGATATTCGTGATCAGCACCCCGAAAAACCCCTTAGCAGCCACACTTTACGACTTTCTAACAGGTCCCGATTTTCCCGACCTTGGGTCATTGACCTGACCTGGAAGGTCAACCAATGACCTAGGACCTTAAAATTGGGTATCATCGGCTTCCTCTCGTCACGGGCAACACGCTCGTTTTTTCCGCGAAGCTCTAGCTCGATCAGGGGCCAAACGGCAAGGGGGGGGTCCAACCGACCCCCCCCCCCCTACACATTAGAAGCTGGAAAACGCCGCACACATGCGAGGGTTAAGCTCACTTGTGATTGTCAGATGATTTAGCTTATAAGGCGAAATCAAGCGTGCATATTTCAATTTGTGACTAAGTTCAACCAGCCTGACACCATTTGTTCCACTTACCTATTCTAAATAGTTGTCACGGTTTTAGACACTCCGAACGCAGAAGGTCCGCAGTCGCACTCAGCCCCGTGTATAAGCGCGCTGCCACTGCCACTGTCACCTCACGTCCGTGCTGAGCTGACCTCAGCCGGCGCCCGGTCAGTGCGCTGCTGTCTCGGCGGGGGCCGGCTCACGTGTGACCGACTACCGGCTCGTGCGGGCCTGCCGCCGCTGCCGGTGCCGGTGGCGGCGCACCGTTAGGAGGCCCGGCGGCCGGCCGGCCGGCTGCGTGGCTCCGTCCGACCGTCCGTCCGTCCGTCCGTCCGGCAGGTCGGAGCAGCAGCTCAGCCCGTCCCTCCCTCCCGGCACGGTCCGACCCGCTCGCGTGGTGCGGCTCCCTCCCTACCCTCCACCTCCAGAAACCCCTCCGGCTCCTCAGCATCTGCCCCAGCGCACCGCGGCCAGGTCAATGCCTTTCGCTTTTTACCGAGGAATCCGGCCGGCGTGGGCTGACCGCGTACTGACCGCGTCCTGACCGCTCGACCTGAACACACTCGAACTCTGAAGGTGCGGCGCGGTGGTAAGGGGAAGGGCAACAGGGCCCTGCGTGACCCCGCCTGCGTCCGTGTACATTCCTCTCTCTCTCTCTCTCTCTCTCTCTCTCTCTCTCTCTCTCTCTCTCTCTCTCTCTCTCTCTCTCTCTCTCTCTCTCTCTCTCTCTCTCTCTCTCTCTCTCTCTCTCTCTCTCTCCTCTCTCTCTCTCTCTCTCTCTCTCTCTCTCTCTCTCTCTCTCTCTCTCTCTCTCTCTCTCTCTCTCTCGCTCGCTCTCTCTCTCTCTCCCTCCTCCATCCTTCCTATGTCTATTTTCCCTGCTTTTCTCTATCTATTCTTTGTATCAAATACTCGACTCTCCCCGTTTATCCTTCCATGGCAGGGGCCTTTACGAGTAGCCAAATGGTAGGTTGGATGTCTTCAGCAAGACAATAGAACACTTTGTTTCTATTCTGAACCAAACAACAGACACATCTACAGATATGCATTACGCGTAGCTTGTGTCAGTGTTGTAAGCAAAATACCACATTTCACTCAACGGGGCGTGATTGTGAAAAGTTTCTCATTTATAGGCTTTCTTATGTCAATAAAAAAGCAACAAAAGTGATAGGTAGTTTCGACAGCTACCTAAACGGCTCGGAAACGCCGCACTAGCACTTTCCCTGATGCTGTAAATGGATATATAAATCCGCAAAACCTCGCACACATGTTTAATGTTTTCCGCTCTGAGCTCTTTCAGCACCAAAGCGCTTATAGCACTTAGATCCTGCATTAATATTTTCATTTATAAAGAAAACAATTTACATCTATCTCTTGCCTGAAAATTTGACCTCTTAACCCTCGCCCGTATTGGTGTTTTTCCAGCCGCGAGCGTATAAGGGGGGGGGGGGGTCCGTTGGACCCCCCCTTGCCGTTTCGCCCCTGATCAAGCTAGAGCTTGGCGGAAAAAACGAGCGTATTGCCCGTGACGAGAGGAAGCCGATGATACCTAATTTTAAGGTCCTAGGTCATTGGTTGACCTTGCAGGTCAGGTCAATGACCCAAAAGTCGGGAAAATCGGAACCTGTTAGAACGTCGTAAAATGTGGCTGCTATGGGGTTTTTCGGGGCGCTGATCACGAATATCATGTTAGTTTTGATCACAGATGATGTGTTCATGCATTAAGTCCAGGTCGGGTCAGGTCAGGTCAGGTCAACCAGTAGGGGTCCTGCCGGGTATTCCTAGTAGGTGTCAACCGCCTCTGATAGCTTCGTAACATGTTACGAAGGCACCAAAACTACTTCGTAAACGTTCATATGGCTGCTAAATTCGAATTCAGCTCCAAAAACTGGCCTAGAAACATGTAAAACTCGAAAAAGTGAACCGAGGTCACCAAAGGTCAATGACCTGACCTGACCTTCAGGTGACCTTGACACCCACCCTAATGCATGGGGGCAACATCATATCACATGTTTGAACGCTTGAAACCACGAAAAGACTGCAAACGCGCGGCTAATGCGAGCCGACATACGCCGAATCGCGATTCCGGCCAAACATGGTCTCGAAAAGTAGGTCACAGGTCAAAGGTCATTGGGGTCAGGGTCATGAAATTTTCAGGGTAGGTGTAAAATTGATTAACGCGAGGGTACTGAAAGTTTCGTCGCGATCGGCCGCTTTTTACGCGAGTTATTCGCTAAAAACCATGGGGGGGGTCCGTTCGACCCCCCCCCCCCCCCTATACGGGCGAGGGTTAAAAAGAGTGGCTGAGTGGCTGCTCGATGGGTGGGGGAGGGGCATCGGGCATTCGATCACCGGGTAGCTACGTCGCCGTCCATCATTCGTGCATGTCCCGGGACCTCGGTTCACTGACCATCTCCGTTTGGAGTCGATAGCATCGGTCCTGGCCGTGCTGAGGACGTGAATGGCGTGCTGCAGCGCCCGTCCTGCAGGCAGCCGCAGGTGGACCGCGCCTGCGGCCGTCACCGCGCATTGCACACACGGGGCATTGTGCGCAGAATGGCCCGACTTTTTGTACGCAAAACGGCACCAGTCAAGTCGGCTGTCGGCTCCCTCAATGATGCAGATTATGCCGGTTTTATGTGCATGCTACAGGAAGACGGAGACGCCGGTAGTTTATATGCCGAGAGCGGTTGATGGTCACGACAGATTGGCCGTTTTTATGCAGATTTTCGAGGAAAAACGCATGTGTGCTAACAAAACATGCTACAGGAGCGGGCCAATATGGGTCATTCGCCAGAAATAGTATAGTACGCTCAACATCCCAACGCTTCACATGCATTGTCTTGGATGATTTTTTATTCCATTGTAATTGTATAAAGAATGCAATGTAACTTTACCTTGGCATGTAAACTGCATTTCAATATGCGACTGAGAAAGCAGCAGAATGCTCCTTTCCGACTTCCTTCATCTTTTAGGTACTTCTCTCTATATCCCCCTCACCTTCCGATCCATTCTCTCTCTCTCTCTCTCTCTCTCTCTCTCTCTCTCTCTCTCTCTCTCTCTCTCTCTCTCTCTCTCTCTCTCTCTCTCTCTCTCTCTCTCTCTCTCTCTCTCTCTCTCTCTCTCTCTCTCTCTCTCTCTCTCTCTCTCTCTCTCTCACACTCACCCACTCTCTCTCCCTCCTGTCTCCTTCTCCTTCTCCCACCGGCCGCTGTTTCCGCAATACACGGTCATCAATCGACACCGCGCTGGAGCACAAACAAGTGGCCGGCCCAGTTCCCACCGGCAGTCTTGCCGCCTCCGTGCCCGCACCTGACTCTTCACAACAACCGGGAGTCATGTCTGGCAACCGTCTGCACGGATTCCCAGGAGTCATGTACCTGGTCACCGACTCCACTATACATGCAACACACAGGAGTCATGCACGGAGCAAACAAAACTATCGAAACACACATGTGATGTCTGATTACGCCCGGAATGTCTCTAATCTTGTCCCTTTTCTTTTACCTCGATGATCGATCATTTGCTCACTTTTATGCATTCGTCTTTCGGCTTTGCCTACGTTTATGCTTTGTCTCCCGTTTCCGTCTTGTCATAACTCGAGTCGTTAGTCGCCTGTTGATTTGGTTCTCATTTTTCGTTTAATGTCTGTCGTCTGTCATTTGTCGTCTCTTACTTATCGCCTTCCGTCTCTCAGCTCTCATCTCTCGTCTCCTGAATTGTGCGCTAATTTCTTTTGAAAAGAAATCGCCACAGAGCGTCCAAACTGTGTCAGCTTAGCAGCAGAGGCGGCTGCTGGCTGTGCCTCAGCCGGAACTGACTCATGGTGGTGAAGCCGCCATCGGAGCCGTGGGAGACAGCGAGAGACAAATGAGACAATGGGAGAAACACTATGTAATGCGTCCAGAACTGCAAGTTAATTGTCAGTACCATTAAAGGCATTGATTACGGAGCGAGCGAAGCGAGCGTAGTCTTTCCTTAGATTAACGGAAATTTCTGAGTATGAGCGGCCGGCCGGCCGGCCGGCCGGCCGGCCGTGGTCACGCTTTTGCGAGGCTTATATCTCAGCAACCACTTGACCGATTTACACGCGGTAATTTTTGTAGGGTAGCTTCATTCCTTCTACCAAGTATTGGACTATTCCCGATGCATGTGGGTGACCCCTTATGCACGTGCCACGTGCAAAACGAAGAGGTGTCACTTTTGTAATTGTTGCAATATCTCGGTAACTACTTGGCCGATTGCGCTGAAAGTTGGCATGTAGGTAGGCACCCACTAGGCACTGCATATACATGTGCCAGAGTTGGGGTGCTGCTGCACGTGCGCACGTGCAGGGGTCGTTTCCAGATCTCGGGAACGGCTGGACCGATTGCGCTCAAATTTGGTACACGGTTGGGGACCGGTTAGTAGGGTGCCGTGCACAAGTCAGTTGGGACCCATTTTGCACGTGCGCACGTGCAGGGTGCCGCTTCCAGATCTCGAGAACGGCTGGGCCGATTGTGCCCAAATTTGGCACATCGCTAGAGACCAGTTAGTAGGGTGCCGTGCACAAGTCAGCTGGAGGTACCCCCTCGCAATTTCGCACGTGCAAGGCCCACCCTCTCGCTCGCTCCGTTAGTCGCCCCAAAAGGCGTTATACTGGTAGGTAGATGAAAACTTGGTGGCTGAGAAGGCCGATCATGCAAATTTGATTTGAAGTGTCTGTGTCTCACGTAAAATGAGCCACGCAATGTCATATGGGAAAATGTATGGTTTCCTTAGTCCTTATTGATTTTTATTATTGAAGTTGGTGGAAGGCGACTCGTATATGTTTTCAAATATAACCTTATGTTCAATGATTGCGAAATGCAAAAGGTTCCAAAAGGTTCCAATTAATTACAAAATGAATATATTTCGGACTTAATTTAATTTGCAATTCTGAACTGAAGAAGGACAGTGTCCGAAATATATTCATTTTGTAATTAATTGGAACCTTTTGGAACCTTTTGCATTTCGCAATCATTGGAACCTTTTGCATTTCGCAATCATTGAACATAAGGTTATATTTGAAAACATATATATGTCATAATGCTGTTCATACAAGTACTTCGCCATTTACTTGAAGGCGACTCGCTGCAAGTTATCACTTTCCAGCCAGACCATAAAAATAAAGGATAACTCAGCTGACCTGTTGTGAAGTGTCATTTAGAGAAAAACTTGTATGACCAGTGGCCACCTTATACACACAGGTCGATAAACAAATGGGCACTGCTACTGCATTACCACTTACCATACCATACGTGATGCATCACTGAAAGAAAAAAATACCACCCTAGTTAGTTTTTGGGTGGTGGTCATATTTTGAACAGCCTTTTACTTATGGTAAACCAGTTTACGATCCAAATACTAGGCCCAATATCAAAGGAATACTATGCAACTACCAATGCTCATCAAAA